TATTGAAGATACTCTACGTTCGACTTACCATAAGCTGAACGTAAGAAGGTATCGCCCAGCAACGTGAAGTCCGCGTTGGGGACAATACCCAGGTAGCACGTCGGCGGGGTGGTGCGCAGCTCACGAATCATCTCCTTGTAAGGAACCTTGATCTTCATCCCATCAAAGTCGAAGTCGACGGTCCCATTGAGATCGACAAGAGTACACGAGACAGGGTAGAAACCGTTGGCGTCCAGACCAGGCGAGCCGAAGTCGGTAGCAACCTGCACGGCAAGCTCTTCGGGCAGCAGTGTGAGAGTAGCGCCACTGTCTAGAAAGACTGGCATCGAGCTATTTTGGTACATGCGAACGCGGCGACTTGGCGGAGTGAGACTAAGTGAGTTCATGTTTACCCAGTACCGAGCAACACCGTCAGGGGCCTGATCTGCCGGGAGAATCGGGAGGCGTGCCAGTGGACCGGAGAATTTCGAGGTGTCAATGCCACCAAAGACTATTGCCCCTTCCTGTTCGTCTTTGGAGCCCAGTCCGAGGCTAAAAGCTTTGGTGCGGGTGACTCCTTGGGTAACGAGCTCGTCGACGAGGTTCTTATAACGGGTGTTGACGCCATTTCCGTAGCCAATACCAAGAATTCCTGCGAACTGATCTTCAGAGCTGGTAGCGACGCCAAATTGGACCTGCTGCATTGTTGTTCGAGAGCCGGCGAGGGCGAGACTGTCGCGGACATAGGTGATATTCGCAGCGCCGATACCGTAGCGGAGAGTTTTGGTGGTCTGCAAAGAGACAGCGGTTGAAGATCGAGCTGTGTCATAAAAGCCGACGGCTTCACAGAAGCGTTGGTCAGAAGCGGCGAGGGCCCCGCACTCTGGGTTCACCCATAGCTCAAATGAACCAGTGTCTAGTTGAGCATAGACTGGCTGAGGGGGTGTGCCAATGTTAACTATGCTGGAGTTAGTGTGTATTCCAAGTACTCATCCGTCAAGGCAAATAGTGGTGCTGCTCACGTTGGGCATAGTAAGCCACATCCGAACGGTTGGCAAGCTTCGCCTCGACCTGTCTACTAAATACACCACGCTTGGTAGAGTGGATGACGGGCAGCGTGACAAAGGCGCTGTCAACATCGACACTGTCATCAACAGGCAGGCCACGCACTGTTGGAGGCTTAACCACCGGGGCGGCAGGAAGAGCCTCCAAATCATCGCCCAGAAGATTGTCGAGTAGAACCTTTCGAGGGGCTCGTATCCGTCTCTTCCTCTTTGACTTTGAAGTCACTGGCAGCGTCATCATCATACTGACTTCATCGCCCTCATCTGCGGGGAGGGAGAGCCCGCGCGAGACAACTTGGACATCGTGCTGTTGTGTGGCGGTATATGGGATGACGGGGAGTGTCATGAGCGTTCTGGAATCGCCATCGTCGGTTGGTAACTGAGGCCATCCGTGTGCTCCAGTGACTAGTGAAAGAGCCAAAAGAGCGGATGAGAGGAGCGCCATTTCTGGCGTTGGCGAATATGATGCGTGCTATCGCGGTCGTCGCCACATGGGAACTATTTAGACGGAATGACGCTTGATCGAGTTGATGAAGGGTGGCGGACGTCTCGTGAGTGAATTTGGAAGCCGGTCTCGGGTGTCCTTTGGTGAGAACTAATCGGTTGTTGGTAAGGAGCGTACAGACCAGGAACCAACTGGCTGGAAAAGACAATGATGAGGAAAAACGAACAGAAGTCGAAAAGTAAAGCTGATCCAGCAAGCTGTCGATGGTTGAATGGTATTGGAGATCCCACCGGGAGGTCGTGAGGGAAAGGTTGCCTTTCAAACGGCAGACGCAACGCAATGCAAAACACGCCTTGGCTACCAAGAGCTTCCAAGAGGTGGGAAGAGTAGAATTGAAGCAAACTCCACCGTCGAGGCAGACAACGATTGAGAAAAAAGAGAAAGGATTAGCGTAAAGGAAAGAATAGGCAACGAAAGAAGAGAATTGCTGTGACAAGAATAGAGATTGGAAACGAAAATGGGAATAGATCGACCAAGACCAAGAGCGAGAGAGAAGACGAACTAGCCGATGGCCTGTCCCAGCTGTCACCGCGCCAAGGGAGGGGGGCCAGCCAACGACGATGAGGAACCACGGTGTCTGGGTGTCTCGAAAGTAGCATGGTTCGCACGTTTTCTTCCCTAAGAGAACCCCATTTTGACATCCCTTGTCAGTGCAGTGTCTTGGGAAGACCCTGTCGAGCATCCTCCCGCCTGGTGCGGCTGCTGAGCCAAAATCCAAATTTGGCACACGGGACACACAACTCACGCGGCATTGGCATTCCTACGGATACTTTTTGCTCTCGGGGGTGGTGCTGGCTTGCAGACACACACAATTAATTGTCCACCAGATGGACGAACGACAACCTTCGTCTGCAGTACGCAGTCGTGGCAGTACAAGTATGCTCGAAGAGGTCCTTGCTTTTTCCTACTCGTCTCGCCCTAGCGGAGGGATGCTAGGCTTGGTAGTTCGCAAGACTTGGCAGTTCGGCCTTGGCACCTTCCAACGTCCAAGACGGACCTGTGAGTGGTCGCGACGGACACTTCAAACAATGACTCCAGGGCCTGGCGTCGCAGAGTTGACTAGGGGCCGCAGGCGAGCTAGTGGTGGGACATCGTAGATCAGACAAACCCCTGAGACGAAAGTGGACGCGATTTGGTGTGAGAGCCACGGCCACTATGCCTGAACAGGTTACCTCAGATCTCTTCAAGAGCCCTCACCGAGCTGTTGACGGGTCAAAAAGGAGCTCCAGGAGTTCAGCGGGTCGAGTATCTGCGGCCTGAGGGTGCGGGAGAGATCATAGCCGATATGATCCGGGCCAATTGCGCTACAGTTTTTAACCCGAAAGCGACAATATCGATGATCCAAGGATCACGACAGTGCTTGCTCGATAGGCTCAACCTGCCGCTGGCCAATCCTGGGTTACATTCTGAGAGATCCCCCGGACTCTTGCAGCCTGGCCTGAAGCAAGGAGAGCATAGAAATCACTCGGTGCCATGAAAAATCAGACCACATACATGTACTTCTCAGCCCATCACCAGAGAAGTCAAACACTAAGCGGAAAGTCGAAGAAGTTGAAGAATCCATCGATGTAATTCTTCAAAGTCTGCTGAAGAATGCAAAAGCAAGACATTTCAGTCAGCACCCACCTGAGATGAACCGAGTAAGGTTAGACTTCTCTTGTGCAGCGCCTGACGGACTAGACCCTATGACTATTTATGGGCTCCGCGCCCGTGCTTTGCGTTGTCCGTGCCGAGCGGCGTCCCCCGGATTCCGGCAAGGACTTTCACACTTTAACGGACGCAAGTTTTACTCACAGTGATGTTCAATCTAGTTGCTGGCTTTAATTGGCGGGAATACATGAGAGATCTGGAAGTTGGTCTTCGTTGTATTATTCCGTCGATCAAGCCATCAACTCGATGCTCCTCGAAGCAAAGCTAAATACTGCATACGGCTTTTTAAGTTTGGAGTTCTGTTCAGGGCCATAGTGCTTCCAAGATGCCTACGCTCTAAGGGTCACCACCCCCCACCATCTCCATTCCCGCAAAAAGCTCGATCCAGTCTTCCAGTCTTTCTTGTAGAAACCATTCCAAGTCCCAAGACTGGTGAGTAACCAAATCTTTATCGCCATTCCATAGGTATATATCCGCTTCGATTAAGCTCTCGACCGTTTCGCCACCGTGACTTAACACCATAGCTTGTATTGGATTGGCTTGGTAAACTTCGCCTTCAAAGTCGTCAAGCTTCTTCCGCTGTGAGAGCGTTTGAGGCTGTAGGAGATATCCACTGATGGATGAGCCATGCTCCCTAATGGCGCATGGATAATCACAGCCGTGTAATGAGTAACGTGCGACGTTTTCCACTTTCGCGGTCCGAATGAGGGCCGATATCTCCTTGACTTGAGTAGCGTCACCAGTCAGGACCCAGGCGAGTAGTGGTAGGGCGCATAAGGTACCATAGATGAACACAGGTCTTGGGACTGTTTCCATGATCAAGCGGAGTCGTACTGTAGTTGGAGACCCACTGGTCGCAGTGGTGACAAAGGTGTATGTTTGAGTTTTCGAGCCACGAGGGGCAGGTGTAATGCGATGCGTCCGAAGTCTACCGTGGAAAATACCCAGATTGATGACAATTTTGCCGTGGAATTCCTCATGAAAGCTGTGCGAAAGATTGAACGAAGTGGGAAAACTTTTCTTCCTTGTGTTCTGGAAAGAAGTGCTGGCCGTTTTATGGTCTCTGCTCTTGCTGTTTCCCCTGAATTCTGAGGACCTTGATATCAAGGAAGGTTCCATCCGGGTTCAGCTAACGACTTGGAAATAACTATTCCCACAATTGAAGTGGATGACACAACAAGCCGTCGGAAATACATATAGAGCCCCTCTATGCTTCTTTGATAAAGGCTTCGATATTACAGTAAGAATATACTGAAGCGAGCGTTGGCCTCGAGGAGTACCAATGACAGAGATTACGGTGACGACAAGAAATCTCGGGAGACGTTGAACCGTAAAATATTTCGTCGTTCATTTACTGTTCTTTGATGGCTTATACCAGTATTTCTTACTTTTATGGCCGACTTGATGGTGGTTATCATGAGTTGAGATACTGTATTGCATTCTCAGAAAACGATGGCTGTGCTATGGCGTCTTTGAAAATTGAAGATTGATCGGGAAATAGACGTCACGGAAGAAGTGGCCGTAGTGCTTTCAACTCAGGTAAAGTAACGGTAACGATGAAACTGAGGGCTACAGTTCTACTGCTCGAGACTCGAGACACCATGACAACACTTTGACACTAATTAGCATAGCATTGAGCCTTCCATGAGACAGTGGCACTTGAAGTGGAGAAGGACATGCAACAAGAAGGTCTGAACAGACCCCATCCACAACGGCTGTTCTTGACTCTCCCGGCTATCCATGCACATTCGACCCGAAGTGCACCCGCCTTGCGCCGATCATTGCTAGGCACCCTGTCATGTTTAGTCCAAAAGACGAAGAATCCTGACCCGAACGCCTTTCGTATCATCTCGAGGCTCGCCCAGGAAGCAGTCACGGTAGTGATCAATGTCCCTTTCTCTGATGACATCGTGCAACTCCAGATCAAATCGACGCAGAACTTTTGCAAGTGCAACGTACATCTCTGCCCAAGCAAGACTTGGCGGCGCATGATAGTCAGTAAATGCCTGCGAGAACTTGCTGTTGCAGTGAGGAATTGACGCACTTGAGTCCAATGCAATTGCGGTGTCCGCGCCCGAAAGGGAAGAAGCATTTCGTGTTCTGGGCGTAAAGAGGGTGAGACTTGAGCCATCTCTCGGGATCAAACATTCTAGGGTCTGGAAAGGCCTTCGAGTCCATCATCAGATCGGCGAATGTCATGCCGATTGGCGTCTTCCGAACCAGTTAGGTCAGCAAACATTCAACCAACTCTGCTAGGGCGACTTGAAAACAAATCACTTGAATAACTGATGATTGATCTTACGTTTGTTGGGATGACCCAATCTCGGTATGTGAGACATTCCTCAGGTGCTTGCAGCACAACTCTCATAGTAATAAGCGCGGAGATCCGAAGTGACTCTTTGATGACAGCGGTCTTATCAGCACATCGACATTAGTGAGATGACCTTGGATCAAAGATAGATAACTCGCATCAGGTTGATGCACTCACGGTCAACGGCAAGCTTTCGAGCTTACTCAGCGGCACATCCATATTGGAGTCTGGCATCGCGGCTCTCAGCTCTTCCTTTAACTTGGCAAGGTGATTTGGATTTGAGAGTAAGTGATACACAGCAGTGGTCAGAGTTCTGTCGATTGTATCTCCCGAGGCTGTCAAGACAGTGAAGCCTTCTTGGGCCATTCGCTTGAAGCCCTTCTCCCCCTGAGGCAAGTTCGAACTAAGAATCGCTTGCATGAGGCCGCCATTGCCCTCTTTAATACCGACGGATGTCGACGAGTCTTTGATGGCCTCTTTTGCTTGACCTTCCATGTCCTAACAGAGTGTTAGACTTGTTCATATGCATTTAGTGACTGCACAATTTATCGACTTACCAGCAAAACCTGGGTTACTAAGGCTAAATCTGACGATACTCGTCGGATGAGCCACATTGGGAGTCCAAACGCGAATGATAGAAACCATGGGAACTGTCTGACAATAGGGGTAAAGTGAAGCAGAGCGATGATACTTTCTCTCCACTTCTGGGCCTTTGCCTGGTCTTTTAATAAGTGCATGTCACCTGTCTCGCCAAGCGCATGGGCGCAGTAGAAGTCGGTGGTGTAAGCCAACAGCGGGACACGAATGTTGAAGGGATTGCCCTCTCTAGCGTAATTCTTGAAAACTTCGCAGAGTTGTTCACCCTTCTCGTGGATGAGTCCTTCGTGGACAACCACAGACTGCTTGGAGAAGAAGCCAGAGATGGCAGACCGGCGCATTCGATGAGTATCGTGGTTCAAGGTCCCAAAGATGCCACCAGGAGCGCCCTGGACACTGGCACTCGGCGGGTACTTGTCACGGCGAGCGCTCCCTCCGGCGAACAGGACGTCGAAAAAGTGGTGGTCACTGACGTGAATTTCGTTAGGGTTTATGCGTACGATAGGGCCATAGTCGTCATGCATCTGTTGAATCTTGTAGGCGAAAGTCTTGCCAGGTGCACCAAAGAGTTCGTGGTAGGTCTCATACCAGCCAGTGAATGCTGTCAGTTTGGGACCAGGGAACTTTGCGAGAGGATGAAACGTGATGTTGTAGATGCCTACAAAGATGATATAGAGAAAAAGGAGTCCTGGGAAGATCGTGACAAGGTTACTCAAGAAGAGTCTGAAGGTAGTGTCGTTCACTAAGATACCCATGGCCAATAGATTTTTCTTATTACACGTAGATTGGCGACTTTAATGCGTGGCTGGTGAAGGAGAGCAGCTTTGAATTATTTCAATCCGGCCGCTAATGGAATATCGAATTTTCCTAGGTTTTCCCTCCTGACACTTCAGCGAAAGAAAATGAAGTGCCCGATGCCAGCTTTCTAAAATATTTATCAGACCAAAGTAGACGTAGATTCGACCGACCTGACTATTGCCAGCGGCGAGCTATATGATCACCGCCTTATCTCTCATGACGCCCTGGCATGATTCTAGACAACTCCCGACCGTCCGCACCGCTTGGCCACTCCACCGTTGATTAGCTACTTCTAGATGTTTTGCTGCATATTCCATGCAGATCCCCTGTACTTGAGAAGCCAGCTCAACATCAGTACATTGCGGCACGGCTACCAAACTATCCCGGATGAGCAACATTTCATCTTGGGATTATGGACTCCGAGGTGCTGCCCAGCGAGTTCCAAGAATAAGATTTATTTGATTGGCACCGACTGGCTAAGAGGAATAAATGGACCCAGCAGGAGGTCAATGAAGGTTACAATGTGTGCATGCTTACCCCCCAACCCAATGAAGCATGGTTGGGACAATGCCAGGAATGGCAACGCTTCGGCCTTCGATCCTGGCCCATGACGACTTCAGCGTAATCGAGCATTTACCTCTTTCGTCCACAGTACCATGCCTCAAATACGATGCCAAGGCGAATATAACACAAGGATTCGGGTACACCAGGTTAGCGTAGCCCTTGCCGGTACGCCGACGACACCATCCGCAGGGTAATGAGTCTCCAACAAATCCGGAGCTCGGAGTTACACTGATTACGGCCTTTATGCAGTCAACATGCACAGTAAGAGTTCCATCACAAACCAACAGCATGTGAGGTTTCATCGGCTTGGCATGTCGGTACTTCGAAATTCAGGCAGGTTATACGTGTTGGAACCTCCGAGAAGTGTACTTTTGTACAGCGAGTTGGATTGCTTCATTGCGCCAGGTGGCTGCTGATGAAGATATGAAAACATCGGTATCAGGTTTCTCTAGATTAATGGCATCAAAAGTGAACAGATGAGGGCCTTCTCAGTCTGCATAGTACCCTGTCTGTATCATGGAATCGCCGAGCTCCAGAGCAATAACCCCGAAATGCGGGAATGACGCCTTTCCCACCCTTGGCTTCATCCACAAATCAAGGTCTGTCTTCCAACTGCGAGATGTTCGATAAGTGAGGCATCCCAAAAAAAAAAAAGTAGGAGGTATGATCTCCGTAATCCAACCAGGTGAAGAAGGTCCATGAGTGTCGTAGTCTTGGTTGGACAGGTATATATACTGCTGTCTCATATGTACAGCTCATCAATAATCAGGGGCCCAATCTCACATTGCTCATTTCCAGAACCTATATTGTGGATTAATAAACAAGAGCATCGGTGATGGCTTGCCTCGACGTCCGTCAGACCCTCATCCAACAGCTCAAGGGTCAAGATCTTCGTATTCCGGATCTCAGCCTGCTCTTCAAACCATGGCCAAAAGACGCAAGCCCTTGTCTGGAAGGCCTTCGAACTCTTTCTGGAGAACGGGTTGCAAGGTACGATATCTGATAAAACCTCCAGTTAGTCTTTAACATGGTTAGCTGACTAGGCTTTATTTAGCTTCACTGAGTTACCCAAGAGCCGAAATTCAATGTCAAAAATCGATGTAGGCCTATTCATATCAACTTGGTACCCTGGAGTGAACCTGGAACGGGGAGATATCCTGCGTTGTGTAGTCCTCTGGGTGCGTTCACTTCCTTGTCAAGTTGTATGCAATTAACTCCGGCTAAACATTTCAGCTATTCACATGGGATGACCGTAAGTGTGCGAGATGACTGCTACAGGTTTTTCGACTGATCCCAGCAGAAATCGATGAAAAGGGGGGGCATCTGTACGACAATCTTGAAGCCGCACACGTCTTCCGACGAGAAACCCTCGAATACGTGCGATACTGCCTTCGTCTTTCCTCCGACAATGAGGCCTCCCATGAAGTCCCGACGAACTATATCATCGCTTTTTTCAAAGTAATTGGCGATGCGGTGTGCGAGGCTTATGACTACGGTGAGTCTTTGGCCGAACCTCTGATCGCACCGGATTCTCTCAGGTCAAGTCTTTACTATCTCTGACCTATTATGCATCAATCAGATCACCGAGAGCTTCTTTTCGATGAGATCAAGTTCTTCATAGAGACCTCCGAAACAGAACAGCAGCGTCGGCTTGGCCCTGAGCTCCCGTCTACGCGAGAATACATTGCAACCAGGATGGGAACAGGCGCAGTCAACGTCTGCTTGTTCTTCATTGAGTATGCATATTCGAATACATCTACTTCGGGAGGTTATTGGATGCGCTGACATTACTAGCTATGCCTGCGGGGTCTCTGTCCCGATCGAAGCCCTCAGAGAGGTGGAAATGAGGACATTATGGGACCAGGCGAACATTCTCGTATGGGCGTATGTTGACTAACTACTCATACCAATGCGTGTATATCAGAGCACTAACGGAGACACCCAGCGTCAATGACCTCCTCTCTCTTAAGAAAGAGATAGTAAGCCATCCTCGACGTGTTCTTTCTTCTCATAGTAGCGTGTTTGCTGACTCTCATCCCGAAGGCACAGCAAACGGTCGAGAGCGTTGTCCCCTTGCTCTTCAGAGAAACGGAAAGCCTTGATGTTGCAGTATCCATGGTCACTGAAATGATCCACAAGGCTATCACTGAATTCAACCATGCTGCCGAGTGCCTGATAGCTAAGTTTTCCGATGATGAAACATTAGCGGCTAACCTCAAGACTTACATTGATGGTTGTAAATACATCTGCACTGGCAACCTGACTTGGAGTCTTCAGACAGGCCGATATGGCGTTTCGCAGCATTCAATTTCCGGGGGCTTGGTTATGCGCTTGTAAAGGGAAAGACTTCAAAATTCACAATAGCTTCATTTAGCTAGTCCTACAGTCGTTTATGAACAGAAGTAATGGTGACGATTCCTTCGAAACAGCAAGCGCGCAATAAAGCACTTCGGACTAACTCAACTCTCTCAATATCGTGCTACAAGATTACGCAATTGACTATAACGTTATCTTGTCATGTCACAATTGTAATCACCAAAGCCGCGGCGCCAAAGGCCCTTAGCGCTTATGAATCAGGTAAGGTAGCTAGCCCATCGTATGAGCTTCATTTGTCATGGCCATACTTAATAGCTATAATTGCCGTGATCCAGCCGTTTCCCCATCGACTGCGGCATGATGCCGGCATACAAGTCTCTAGTTTTCTTCAATGCTGATTCTTTTTCAATCTTTCGACTAGGTCCGTCAGATTGAAGTACCCAAGACGGAACATCTTGGAATGATACGTAATTTGATATTACCCCTCATCGGTAGTACGTATCTATGTACCGACGCCATGCCGCAGTCGATGGGATATAAGCTGACTAGATCAGTAGTCAAATTAGACGCGTTGGTCTTTCAGAGATATTCAACGGAAAGCGTTGGTGAAAGAGCACTTACGTGGAATCTTCACCTCTCGATAGTGCAGTTACATCGATCCACCGAAGAGACCTAAATACCATGGTGCAAGCGATCCCCGAAATAAGCAGGCAATGGAAGGTTATCGGTGAAAATGGATTAGATTCTCTACAGTTTTCGGATGAGAAGTCTCCAGAGGTTGGTGATAGCCAGGTTCTAGTCAAAAGTTGGTGCAACACATTATCCCTAATCGCCCCTGTGTACGTGTTATAATCACTAACACCTGCTTCTAGTACAAGGCGCCACCTTGAACGTTTGTACTTACTCCCGTTTGATGTATATTCCAGTTGACTGAGCTTGCCGATAGTACCGAGATCTCACGATTACTAAGGGGACATACCCTTGGGACGTCAGACCGGACGTTGTCCCCGGGTCTGACGGCGCAGGCACAGTACTAGCTGTCGGAAAGCATGTTACCCGATTCAAACCAGGCGATAAAGTGGTTACGGCGCTAGCTCAGAGATACATCGCAGGTCCACTCAGCGACGACCTTCCAAAGTCTGGGCTTGGTGCCGTACTCGATGGCACTTTTCGCACCATCGGGGTCTTCAGCGAGCAGGGTCTCGTCCCGCTGCCTCGAGGCTTGACCTTCATTGAAGGCGCAGCCCTGACTTGTGCTGGCGTTACTGCTTGGAACGCTCTCTTTGGACTATCAGGCAAGCAAGTCTCGGCTGGGCAATGGGTTCTCACGCAGGGTACGGGCGGAGTAAGCATCTTTGCCATTCAATTTGCCAAAGCCGTCGGAGCGAGGGTCATTGCCACCACCAGCTCTGCCGAGAAAGCTAAACTTCTTGAGAAGCTCGGTGTTGACCATATCATCAACTATCGTGAGACGATCGATTGGGGAAAAGAGGCCAAAAGATTGACCGGAGGCGTTGGCGTGGACTTGGTCGTCGAAGTTGCGGGACCAACGACTCTGAGACAAAGTCTTGTCAGCTGCAGACTAGACGGGACTATCATCACCACGGGGTTTGCTGGCGGTAACCCGTCTGAGCACGACATGCCAACGTTTTTGGATTCGTGGCTGAGCCTAGTTACCGTTCGAGGAGTCTGGTGCGGCAGTCGGCTACAGCTTGAAGAGATGTGTCGGGCCATCGAGGCCGACACAGACAAGCTGCGCCCTGTCATTGATCCCAAGGTCTTCAACCTGGAACAACTGAAGGAGGCGTACGAGTATCTGCAGTCAGGAAAACACCAAGGCAAAGTTGGTATTGAGGTCAATTGAAGCGGCTGAGCATTGCTCAGATGGGGAATGTCTTTAGTTCGCCATTTGTCCACGAAGGATATCTCTTCGATGCAAGAACAAGCTTTCTTGTGCATTCTTCGCTGGGCATCGCTCGTGGACATGAACCTGGTCTTGAATCTTTCTCTGTAACTCGTCATCGTTGTTCAGTGGACACCAATAATTCAGAGTTTATTGTGCAAGAAAGCTTCATCGGTATCCCAAGAGAGATGTCTCTAGAAGCAGGCATGAGTGAGGCTTAAGGCAACTTTTCTGACTTAGTTCCCACTTGGTCAGAGTGATGCATTGCGGGTGTTTTAGGAACTTGGTCTTGACTTTGCGACAGAGGATACCAAACACCATGAATGAAGCATGAAAAGCGAATTGGAAGGAAATTTGTTATTCGTAGGTATACACAGCGACGAATGAGGATAGTCTCAGAGATTCAGCAACTGATCATAGACCAAAGCACAACACCAACTTCGTCAAATGACTTGTAAACTGTGCCAACAACCAACTTGCCGCTTTCTGTTGAGTCATGGCTGACTTACCTCATACTCACCAATGCAGCTCAAGATTGAGAGATGCAAGAAGCAAAAGTCTAAGCTCCTGGAATTTGGCCAAAGCTTCCCGAAAGGAGCTTCTCCGCAATGGGTAGACAAAGTCAATTATACTACACTCATTATAGACACATGGCCTGTGTTATGCCCTTTGTTTTCAATAAGAGTAGAGTTCATGCAAACTTCGTGCCCCTAACTCTAAAGTCAAAATTTTCTGCCGGCAGATTATACCCTCAATCCGAGGCAATTCTGCCTCAGAGTCTTGACATTCTTCTATCTGCGGGGCAGAAACGTGTCACTGAGATCAATTTACGTCATTCATCCCTTTCATCTGCTCTCATTTCCAACACTAATGCTCATCTGCACATGTTTCGGATGATTGCTGACTGATATTTCGCTCGCGACCAATTCTTCTAGTCTTCAGAAGGAAACTTCCAAAGTCTCCTCACACAATTGCCAGGTGCATCTTAAGACAGTCGTTCGGCTGAGTGTTCGGCAAAGTAATCCCTCGCTTAACAATTCTACACCAGCGAGAAGAACGGATCGTTAGACTTCCCGGAGAAACGAAACGAAAAGAGCGTTGCCCCAAAACGCAGAGACCATGACGGGACGAAGCTGAGGTGGTGTGCGTGTCCAGCTGGAAAGCCAATGCGTGATTCAGGCCAATCGTCTTGCAAAGATGTCGGACGTTAAACGTCCCGATACCTCACAAGTGCCATGCGTCTAAAACCTTCCGACTTTGGCGCAAACTTCATTAGATGACCAGAGTTCGTCATTGTAAACATGACTTGCTGAGACTACGCTTATTGATGAATTACAACACCTCAACTGGCTTTTGAGGCTTCAACAACGCCTGTCCCACATCCCGGCTCCAACCTCTGTAGCGAGTGTCAGGTTGATTGCAGATTCGTGGAATCCGATGGGGGTCCCTGCTTTCGGGCTCTAGGCCGGTTGGTTCGACGCGCCCCTGACTCAAAGAGATTAGTCGGTGGAGACGGGAGAGAATAAGGGGTGGTGCGCCTCAACTGGGCAGAAGATAGCAACTTCACCCGCATATCAACTCGCACTCTAACAACGCTCGTTGGTCGATGTCATGTTCCTGATTGACATGAAACGCTGTCATTAGAAAGATGCAGGTCTTGACCCCCACAAAATCCTTCTGGCTCAAGAACAAGCGCCTGATCGGTGCAACGGCCGACGCACTAAACAAACCTAGACAGATGATGTTGGCCATTTCAAGTCATATCGACAGAGCCCGTTGACTCCGAATGGATCCAACCGAACAAAGCCCTGCAATATCCACTGAGCCGCGTTGCCAGGCATGCCAGTCATTCCCAAAATGTGTTGTTCACCCGTTCGGAGGGATGAGGGTCTACAAATGTCCTCCAATCAGTGAGGCCATATTCTTCTTCTGTTGCGGTCGCCAAGACTGGATCTGGAAGATATATAACACATTACCTTGGCACCCTACTTGGCGTTTGTTTCCCCAGCCAGTCTCCGATTCTCACCACCACTCACTTTCTTGTTCGATTCACTACCGTCGTTCTCTTTTCTCCACGCCAAGATGGCCAAGTTTTTCGCCCCTGCTGCGGCTCTGCTGAACGTCGTTCTGGTAGCGGCGTCTCCTCGTGGCCACCACGGATCTCACATTCGTTACACAAACACCATTCCTCGCGCAAGCAACGCCGTAAGTCAGCCCTATGCGATCCACGACCCATCTGATGCGCGCCAAGACCCGGCAATCTGACTGACCCGTTTCTCGCCCACTTTAGACCGGCTGCGTTGTCACCAAGTACGACGACATTGCGAACGCCGTCAAGACATGCACCGATATCACGCTCTCTAACATTGCTGCGCCCTCCAACGGTGCTATCGATCTCTCCAAGCTTCAGACGGGTACCAAGGTCACCTTCGACGGCACAACCGTACGTTTCTTTTTCCGACTTGCGACTAGACGAGAAATTGGGTACTAACTCCGCGCTCAGACTTTTGCCGATACCGTCGACAGCAGCTTCGACCCCATCATCATCTCCGGAACCAACATTGTTATTACTGGCGCCCCCGGACATGTGATTGAGGGCAATGGTGCCGCCTACTGGGACGGTCTTGGATCCAACGGTGGTGGCGACAAGTGAGTGACTACTTCCTTGAGGCAGACGAAGACTTGAAGCTAACCAGTGAAATCAGGCCTAACCACTTCGTTGTCGTCAAGAAGACCACCAACGCCAAGATCACCAACCTGAACATCAAGAACTGGCCCGTCCACTGCTTTTCCATGACCGGCAACCAGGGTCTCACCGTCTCCGGCCTTGTCCTCGACAACTCTGCTGGTGACGCGCCCAACTCCAAGAGCGGCAGCAAGGCCGCCGCCCACAACAGTGACGGTTTCGACATCTCCTCCAGCGACAACGTCCTGCTCGAGAACATCAAGGTCCACAACCAGGACGACTGCGTCGCCGTCACCAGTGGAACCAAGATCACTGTCAACAACCTCTACTGCTACGGAGGTCACGGCCTCAGCATCGGCTCCATCGGCGGCAAGAGCAACAACACCGTTGACGGCGTTGTCTTTTCCAACTCCCAGGTCGTCAAGAGCTCCAACGGCTGCCGCATCAAGTCCAACTCCAACACCACTGGCGAGGTTAGCAACGTCACATACAAGAACATCACCCTCACCGATATCGACACCTACGGCATTGATGTCCAGCAGGATTACCTCAACGGTGGCCCGACTGGCTCGCCCACCAACGGAGTCAAGATTTCCGGCATTCACTTCATCGATGTGACTGGAACTGCCACTAGCGACGCCTACAACTACTACATCCTCTGCGGTGACGGCAGCTGCTCCGACATCACCTTTGAGAACACCAAGATCACGGGAGGCGGCAAGACCAGCAGCTGCAACTTCCCCGCCAGCGGATGCCCGGCATAATCGAAAAGATCGTTCTCTGTAAATATTCAAACAAAGTGAATAAGAATACCACGCATATATTACGATCTCGTTTTCGCCGACGCCTTCGGCAATTCGGCACGGGGCATGTGGGACTTCCGGCGCCGGGTGGGTCCTGGAACAGCTTAGCTAATTGAATCTTTCATCTTTCATCTATCATCATCAGATTCCCAGCCCGCTCAGTGAACAGTGAACTGACATGTCTGCTAATCAAATATGAATGATCTTTATAACGGTTATCGAGACTTTTGATACATCCCTAGATATTCATGACCGTACTGTACCTTTGGTCAGCTCCCCATTGTCGTGTCTTCTGGCAGAGCCGGTGTGTTCCGTCCCGAGTCTTTCAGTGGCTTGACCAGCGCCCTCTGTGGCGCCTTGGCAGACCCCTCAGACTGCATTTAAGCAGCAACGACCCCTAACCCCCCAAGCCTGCACTACCTTACCGTCCTTCTTATGAACATTGCAGCGACCGGAAATGGACTCTGAAAATACACGAAATCAGCTTTCGAGCAACGCACCACGTCGACAAGCGCTCAATGTGAGCATTGAAGTCAGAAAAGGCTGGGCGTGGCTAATAATCTCGCAAGGTCTGCGCGCCATGTCGTGAGAGGAAGACGAAATGTGATGAAGCAAAACCATTTTGCGGGCGATGCAGAAGGTTGGGGCTGCAATGTGCATATATCGAAACCGTCACATCAAAGTAATGCAGTATGCCTGCTCTAGTGAAGGGTTACAGTCGGCTGACTTTCATCAAGGAAGAACCTCTCTGTCACGGAGTTGAATGACACACTGAAGCGGATGGAAGCTAAGCTGGATGCTCTCATGGAGAGTGCTCACGACTTTCGAACCACTTCAGATGGGCAGTCACGACCACAGAATCATCACGGCCCGACGGTTGAGAACCCTGGCCCGGTGGAAGCGGTCAGTCCGATGAGCGTATTCTCGCCTTCCAAGCTAGGATCGGTCCAGATCCGCCAGGAACTCGCCATCCCGGAGAAGCACTACACGGCACCACAGCATCTTCTCTCCTGGCCTTGTTCTCCGGTCACTCTGACGGATCTTGAACTACGATACCCAGTCGCGTTGGAGATTCAGCGACCGAAGATACGCAGAAGTAGAGCACCCCCACGATGCCTTGTTGAAAGTTCCTCGCGAGATGATGGCTGGCTGTCCAACCTGTCGCTGGCGCAATTGCGTGACCTAGCCGACTCTTACTTCAGTCACTTCCACCCGCAGTATCTTGTATTAGACGAAGACCGATTCTATAGCCATCATCTCAATCAAGCTCTCAGAGCGGGGTTTGCTCGCAATCTTGATAGCTGCTTGGTGGCACTCGTCCTCTCGCTCGGCTCTGTAGCTGCCTGCCAAACTGGTAAAACGGAATGGGCCCAGTCCGACTCAACGGATGCCATGTTAGATCACGAGGCTGGTCTCGGTTTCTTCACCATTGCGTGCGATATGTTCCGGAAGGTCGAGGAAACCGACTGGGTGAGCGTCCAGTGTCTTTTGCTCATGGCGTAAGTAAAGCTTGGATCCCTGTAGGGAGGCATTTGGAACGCTAATGGCACTTGGCAGTCTTTACAACTCGTCAGTCTTGAGAATTCATGACTCTTGGAGTTTCATTCACAAAGCGTGCTCTCTGATCATGATCTTGCTGCCGCTGTAGGTCCTGTGATTTGTAGATTCTTGGCCAGGATGCGAGATTCACTGACAGGTTGGCATCAGGCAGGCGAAATTAGAAGCCCACCACTGCCAGCTGTACTGGATTGCTTATCTGCAAGAAAGGTACCAACGCTTTCGGCTTTGGCCCTCAAAGGCTTGCGTGCTAATCAAGTCACAGCCAAATTCTTGTCGAGTATGACTTCCCGCCTAGCGGCTTGAGTAGTCTCGAAAGTGCAGTGCCCTTGCCGCTACTACCCGACTCTGGCGCAGACTCTCAGGGCAAAGACACGCAATTCTACTTCTTGGCACTTGTTGCTATGAGGAGACTCTTGAACCGTATACACTTTCATCTGTATAATCAAGGTCAAAGAACCTCCGGTGTGCACGAGATTCGTTGCGAATGCTGATTCAACTATAGAAAGAGTTGAGCCCCCATCCCACTCTATCCTGGGTGAATTGAGCCGTCAAATCGAGGAGTGGAAAGCGTGTCTCCCAGTCGCGCTCCAATTCGAAACCTTCCCGCTTGTCGAAGAGGTCAGGCTCCTTTCCTCGCATCCAGTCAGACCAATGCAACAAAGGTTGAGGGGACACCTGAAGGCACGCTATTGCGCTGCAAAGACGATCCTCTACCGTTCTCACGTGCACCGCTGTCTACATGCCTCAGCAACTTCCGCTCTAGCCGACGAAGAATTGTTAGGCGCCAAGGTAGCGATCTCCTCTGCCATCATCGGGGTATTGCATGGTGGAATTCTCCAGGAACCATTCGGACTCCTTCTCTTCCCCATCAACTCCTGGAGAACGTGAGCGATAAGTCCATTCCTCTTGATGACCGACGATCAACTAGCTGATGTGCCCCATAGTCTTTTCGGAATCGAAATCCAGATCAGATTCATCCTGCGTAATGAAGAGCTGTCTGGAATCCTGTTGCCGGAAGGCTGGGAAATCACACAACAGGCTCGAGAAATGGCAGCCGGGGCGGCGTCTCGGTTTTCGCCAACGATTGCGAGGGACTGTGAGATTCTTCGCATGCTGTCTTGATCAAGGGAGATATATGGATCATCCAGAACAGAGGTAACCGCAACCGGAGTGTCATAAATACCAACAGCTACTCTATACCCGGTTCGTGACCTCAACTCAATGAACCCACTGAAAAGCATTCGCCGACCGGAATCCAGCGTCCAGTCCTTCCTCCCTAGAATCCCTTGCCGCACTCACCTTGAACTCCGCGTTGGCCTCCACCACCCACTTCTGAACGCTATCATCCCAGTATGATATGCTCACCTTGTCGAGAGTCGTCCGAGCGGTTACTGTCTCTCCGGGCCGTACGAGAACCTTGTCCCAGCCCTTAAGCTCCTTGAGCGGGCGGCCCAGCCGAGGCTTCGACACAGGAGCGACGTAGAACTGCACAATCTCTTTGCCTTCGCGTTCACCTGTGTTTGTCACATCAACTTCGACTTCTATCCTTCCGGCCTCCTCTAGTACGTCGGTACTCAGTCTAAGGTTGGAGTACTCAAAGGTAGTGTACGAGAGACCAGCCCCGAAAGGGAACAGTGGTTCAATCTTGCGATGATCGTAGTACTTGTACCCGAGATAGATGCCCTCTCCATAATGAACCACGTCGTTCTCACCGGGATAATTGTCGAATGATGGTGTGTCCTCAATGCGACGCGGGAACGTGATTGGAAGCTTCCCGCACGGGTTCGCCGCCCCAAGGAGGACGTCCGCCAAGCTGTTTCCCAGCTCTTGACCTTGGTACCAAGCTTGAATGACAGCCGGGACCTCGCCAATCCAGGGCATCGTGATGGGGCTTCCCGTTTGGTTTACCACGATGACGTTGGGATTCGCCTTGGCCACGGCAGAGATCAGCTCGTTGGACCGGCCAGGCAAGTCCATGGACACCATGTCGCTCGTCTCCGTCTCCCAGTCCTGGTCCTTTCCTACAACGACGACGGCAACATCACTCGTCCTGGCAAGCTCGATGGTGTTTTGAAACATTGCGTCAAGGTCTCCGGGGTTCTCTAGGAACCCGATGCGACCGCCATCTTGGACCTCCTCGCGCTCCAACATGCCCATGTATGTCAAATCATACGGCTTCGGTTCGCGGCTGAGCGACTCAAGCACAAGTTCATATGATCGGCCAGCTTCGAGGGCGACATCGACTCGCTCCTCGGGTGAGCCGTAGCTCATGAAGAGAGATGACTTGGGCGACCACCACCTCCGCTCGATATCAATAAAGACCTTTCCGTCGAGGATCAGCTTGCCGGGGCCACAGCTCGAGAGAGATAGCTGATGAACTCCACTCGTCTTGGGCGTGAGTATCGTCCTGGCACGGTAGGAATATCGCTCTCCGGTCGTCAGCTCAGGAGGGAGCCCATCGTAGCAAACCAGGTTCGAACTCGGCCGGTGCTCCACCATGAACGGGTTGCCCTCGTGCTTCATGTTTCTCCAAAGAGACAAAACAAAACCAGCACTATTGGTATCAGGGTTTTGCATGACAGTAGGGTCCATGAGAGGTAGGTATCGATGCGTAAGGATTCCGGGTTCAGTTGCAACCTTGGCTGTCGGGAACGCCTCAGAGAGCTCCCTTTTGAAGGATCCAAAAGGCGTGGTACGGTAGTGAGGCGCGAGGTTGGAGCTACCACCTCCCGTGGCCACCGACCTGGCAGCGTTGGGGCCGATGAAAGCAATGGTCTTGCCACCGAGATTTGTGAGGGGCAAGGTCGACTTGTCGTTCTTCAGGAGAACAATGCCTGCATGTTTTGTCAGTTGACTTCACTCTGCCATCTCGCTTGAGTGGGCACAAACCTTCTGCGCCTGCGCGACGCAGAATCTTCCGATGCTCGGGGAGATCAACGGCTCGCTCCGGCTCTTCCTTCCAATCCGGTATCTGGCTTTTGCCGGTCTTGTGTAGTAGTTCCAGGACTCTTGCGGCAGATGCATCAATGAAAGAGGGATCAACCAGGCCCTTGCTATGTGCCTCGAGAAGGTGGCTTCCCCTTCGCCTGACTGGACCAGGCATCTCCAGATCCAACCTGGTTCTTCGTTAGTCAAATATTCACCAAAGGCGGTGGCTTCTGATTCAAGGCTTACCCTGCTGTCAACGAAGGTACGATGCTATTCGTCCCAAACCAGTCACTCATCACCAATCCATCCCAGCCCCATTCGCCACGGAGGACGTCTCTGATGAGGTAGTGATGTGCTGAGCAGAAGTCGCCATTGATCCTGTTGTAAGCTGTCATGATAGACCAGGGGTTACTATCGCGGACAGCGATCTGAAAAGGTTGCAGGTGAATTTCGCGTAGAGCACGCTCGGGAATCTTCTCGTCTATGAAGAAACGGCGATTCTCCTGGTCGTTTGCGACATAGTGCTTGACGCAAGCTCCGATACCAGCAGCTTGGATCGTTTTGATGTACTCGGCGGCCAGCTTGCCCGTCAGAAAAGGGTCTTCGCTGTAGGCTTCGAAGTTACGTCCGCCCAGTGGAGTACGAGGGATGCATACTATGCAGGTGTCAGACCAATACCGGAATTTGAGGCTTCTACTTGCAGTAGACAAGACCTTACCTGTTGGGCCTAGAAGAACATCTACTCCTTTGCTCTTAGCTTCCGCTATCAAGATCTGTGAGACATTGTTGATGATTTGCTTATCCCACGTAGCAGCCAGCGATACCCTTTCGTGTTTGTCAGTCGTGGCTGAATTCAGGCGGGAGCTGCTACAGTTACTCACCCAGACGGCAACGAGGCTGCAGTGACTCCGTCAACAAAGATACCACCGCGAACTCCGGTAGGCCCATCAGAGGTCTTGATTCGGGAGATGCCCAACCTCGGGATGGGATTCGTCCGCCAGAGGTCTTCGCCCGTCAGTAGCAACACCTTTTCCTCGAGAGTCATTTGTTTCAACTTTTCTCGAGAGAACGATTTCGCGTCCTGAGGTGCTTGAGGGGCGTTAATGCGTGAAGCATCGTGGTCTCGGCCCCGTTTCTCAGTGTCAAACATGTTACTAGTGTGCGTCTGGGTGAAGTTGAGATTAAGGAAGAGAACTTATAAGAAGGCCAGCGATGGGTAAAGTGTCTCTTTGTGTCCCCGGGAATTGCAAGAGTTCAACACATTCTCTCACAGTCTCAGAGTGAGGGCTCTTTTATAACCCTCCACATTGAATTCCTCATGGGTGCGAGCCAAGTGCTGGGCAAGTTTAATGCAGGATGATTAGCACCAACACGTGGTAGACTCGCTTCTGTAGAGCTCATCGTCGGACTGAGTCCGTTTCTCCCCGGTAGACTTAGCTGCAAAGAGCCAAGCAACGCTTGTAGAGCGCCCAGAGTGTCGGGATGGGCAACCATGCGGGACACTCGCGACCCCACCAAAGACGAGGGGCACGGAGTCAGTCCGTCTCTCCCCGCGCCTACGTGACACCCTTGCCGTTTTGGGGAATAGCCTCGTCCCTCGACAACAATGCCAAGACCTGGGGAACCCTCCCCCGCAGAGCCGATCCGGGGTCGGACTCGAACGGAACCAGATCATGGGGTCAGGTTCGACGCCATGTCGTATGTTACCGGGTAGAGCTTGTCGAGCCTAGATTCTACTTGCTCGAGGAAATATTCCTCCTTGAATATGTCTGTTGGTTGGCGACTATGTTAGATCATGGCTGTCAGACAGCATAAATAGACCCGCGAAGCCCGGGTGAAGAAGGCATCATTCTCACAGCCATCCTCATCTATACTGGCCTATGAATGTCCAACAAGATGGACTCCGAGTCGCTGCCCCCGCGGACCCAGACCGTGGAAGAGATCCTGGCCTCAGACAACCGCTCCGCCCTCTCCTCCCTCACACCATCCCTCATCCGCCTCTACAGTATCCTCGCCCCAGCCTGCCTCGTTGTCTGCGCAACAAACGGCTACGACGGCTCCGTCTTGACAGGCCTCCAAGGCGTCGCCGCCTGGAACCGCGAATTCGGAAGTCCCAAAGGCGCCCTTCTCGGCTTCACCAGCGCCGCCTACCCCCTCGGCGCAATCATCTCGACCTCCTTTTCCGCCTTCGTCTCTGACCGCTTCGGACGGAAATGGTCCATTCTCACGGGCAGCAGCATCATGATTATTGGCGTGCTGATCCAGTGCCTCAGCCACTCCATCGGACAATTCATCGGCGGCCGCATCGTCGTCGGCTTCGGCATCACCATGGCCCTCGCCGCGGCGCCGGTGCTCATCTCGGAGCTCGCGCATCCAAGGCACCGCGTGTTGTTCGGCTCGCTGTACAACACCAGCTTCTACCTCGGCGCTCTCACGGCGGGGTGGGTGACGTTTGGGAGCTACCGCATCGCCGGGTCGTGGGCGTGGCGGCTTCCTACAATGTTGCAGGCGCTCCCGGCGGTGATTCAGATGGTCTTTGTCTGGTTCCTAGACGAGTCTCCTCGTTGGCTTTGTTACAAGGACCGAGATGACGAGGCATTTAGCATCCTTGTGAAGCATCACGGGGGAGGAGACCCGTCTGACCCGCTGGTGGTTGCAGAATTTCACGAGATGAAGGTGGCTTTGCAGCTGGAGAAGCAGGTCAAGGATGTAGGACCAAAGCTATTCTTCAAGACAGCGGCCAACAGGAAGAGACTCTTGATTCTCCTTACTCTGGCCGTGTTCGGCCAGTGGAGTGGTAACGGTTTGGTGTCATACTACTTGACAAAGATATTCACCAGCATCGGCATCACTAGCCAACGCGAGCAGACCATGCTCAACGGAGTCATTAGCACCGTCAACTACGCCACGGCTCTGTTTGCGGCAGCACTTTCAACTAGGATCGGTCGCCGGTGGATGTTTGTCGGAGGCGGCATCGCCATGTGGCTCACCTTTTCGTCGCTGACGGCTAGTATCGCGGTGTACAACACAACAGGCACTACAGCTGCTAGCCAGGCTGCGCTTGCCTTCATCTTTATCTTCTACGCCGCCTTCAACATTTGCCTCAATCCCTTGCTCTTCCTCTATCCCACGGAGATTCTACCGTTCAGGCTTCGGGCTATGGGTCTTAGTATCCTCGTCTTTGCTAATAAGGCCGCGTCGTTCTTCAACCAATTTGTCAACCCTATCGGTATGGACTCTCTGGGTTGGAAATATTATCTGGTGTACGTGGTATGGCTTATGATTGAAGTGGTTGTCTTTTACTTCTTGTACCCCGAGACCAGAGGCCACAGTCTGGAACGCATGCAAGAGGTATTTGGGGAAGAGGTGAAGGATGATGGGTTGGACGAGAAGGGCTCGGTCATCAAGGATATGAGGGTCATAGAACACAAGGAATGAATGAGGTGGTGGCTACCAAAGACAAATCGAGAATAACCATACCACTGTTTATATACTCGCGATGATGTGACCTACGCTTCCTACAACGCAAGATAATGCGTCCCACTTAGTTGCCCGTTGGGCAGCACGGTTCGTCTTGGCCAAGGACTTGTGCCAAGGTAACGAGAGAGTCAAGAAAGTATTGAACGAAATTAAGCGGATTGATAGGTATGTCAGTTTTTGATTGGCACCTATTTGTTACAGACATGAACGTGATGATTGAAGCTGACCAGTCTCTGGAGTTGATCACGTCGGAACGAAGAGCCTTTGAAACTTTGCAACGCAAAACTCACGTGTAGACCACCTCACTTTGCTCTCGACAAGTCCAAACCCCCATATGATGGCACATGAAGTTGTACCTTAGCTGGCCATCACTCATGGGCGAGTACCCATGCATTTAAAACATGTCATCAACTGCCAAAACTTGAAAAATGAAAGGGACGAGACTCGAACTCGCGCGGGTTGCCCCACCAGGAAACAGATGTTAAGCTGACCTTAACCTGGCGCCATAACCAACTCGGCCACCCTTCCGTGACGATGCTCGCTCCGAGGAAGGTCCTCGATGCGATTGCGGATGGCGGTGGGAGCCGGGGAAGCTATTCATATTCCTGGGTGTAGTTTTGTGTGCGGATATGCGGGCTCCGTCAGGGCTATGGAGCCGGGTTGAGAAGTGATCCACCGGCGGGCGGAGAGGAACATGCGAACGTGTGAGGACTCGAGGAGTATTGGAGGCGAAAGTACGGAGTCTGACGGAGTTGACGCGGCGGCTCCGGAAGCGCGCGGGAAGAAGCTTCGGCATCCCGTCGAGGCCCGCGGCCGTCCTGGGAAGAACCTGGGTTCGATGTTGTGCAACAACAGAGCGACGTTCATGCCAGCGGGCGGCCTCTGTAGAACATTGTGTGTATCGCGACCGCAGCAGGCTGTGTGAGTGCGCTCCACTACAACGACGTGGATATCGCGACATCCTCACATACACCTTGAACTATCGACTCACTAAGAGATGCAGTCAATGACGTCGAATAAAGTTCCCAACGACGTTTGGTTGACGAACAAAGCCGTTGGTCCGTTGCGGCTGAGACCCGACGGATGGGTGATACTTCCCGCCAATCTGCCCGCCAAGCCGCAGCCGGTTCACAACGTGCCAAATGCACAAATTAGGGGAAATGTCTTGGCATAAAACAAACACCGTTGGTATTCGCAAGTGAGGCACTGGAGGAATGCACACACGACGCAAAGTCCTTATTCATCGGCTGGTCATCACAAGTAAAATGCCCATCGTGCCGCTTTCCGGCATAAACAATGCTACGGAGTGCAATTGCATCACGAGAACAAAGGCCCGTAGAAACGTCAAGAGTCTCGTCCCGCCGCGCCCCGAAATACAGAGTTGCCAAAAATACCCGAACGAGATTGACTATTTAAGAGTCTTGGAGGGAAAACAATATTGGCTGGCAGAGACCAAGTTACCAACTGGCAAATCGTACAGTATGTATGCACTAGGCACGCAAACCCGGCCTTGGATCTCGAATTCTTGGATGATCACCAACAAGGTCAGGGCATGCCCGTGGCCGCCGCAATTGCACTGCCACTCGCCTTTCCAACACTATTGAGTATTGACTCTTTTAGCGAGAAAAGCCAAGTTTTTCTCTCTGCTTCTTCATCGAACCGGTCATTCGTCTCTTTTTTTGTTGCTTCTTTTCGTCTGGTCTAATTTGATCTGATCTGACCTATGCCAAAGTAAACAAATCAGACTTTTTTTTTCTTCTGAACGAATGGGATGAACATGCATAAATCAGAATAAACAACGGACGCGCGTTCTCCACACTCAGCTCACCCCCTTCCAAGATTTTTTTTCTCACCTTGTTCCTGATCCGGTCGGTAACCTGTGCCGTTGAACTTTGTTGTTGCCCGTCTTGCGTCTAGCGCCAGGTACAGCAACATCATGATTCGTCGCGTACCTGAATTCGCTCCGCTGGCGAGTCTGAATTGGAGAAATCGTTGGTATCCAGACGGAGGTACATGATCGGGATTTCTAGAAGTTTTTGCCTCCGTATGAAATCGCGCACAACCACCAGTGAGCGAATAAGTAGTACTTCGTACATCCCAAGCCTGCCGAACGACGGCGTCCGACGGCGCGACACCGAACTCGAAGCCGTCTCTCCCCGTCATCAGTTTCCAGAATATGTCGCCAGTACTCTTACTCGGGTCCAAGCTCTAAATTTAGCTCGCCACTGCGCCTGGATATGTGGGGATGCATTTCCTCTTTCGTACACACTCCCAATACCCACTCTCTACCGTGCATCAGTGTGAGCTCGTATGAAATACACAGTCTTTTCTCTCTCGAGTCTCGGGTCTCGAATCTCTCTGTCTCGTCCAGAGTTTCCAACTTCTCCAGTCTCCTCTCGCTTCCTCAGCGGGGACGTGACATCCCCTGACCGGGAGAAGCAAATACGAACCAAAGAGAGAAACGGAGCCCGTTCGACGGTCCAGACCTCGTATGCCTGCCAACATCCCAAGTGCCTAAACCAAGTGCGGCCTCCTTGAGGGTGGGGATTGATCAGCACCATCTCATTTCCCGACGTCTGGGGGGTGGGATGCCAAATGGGTGGTGGTGGTGGTGGTGACCATGGGGGTGGATGGGAGGGAGGCTCCTCTTGGCCTGCTTGGCTGCCACCGCGCTTTGCCCAATTGCATCGTAAATCAAGGTCAGGCAATGGGTGTGCGGCCCGCAGCACACCTCGACCTTGAGGCTAACCGAACCGAATCGTTCATTTGCTCGGGAGAGATAGCTCGAGCCCTGTATGACGCGATTAGACCGGTAAATACTCGCTGGTGTGGGTATTCAAACACTGAACGGCACGGAGTACTTTGAGTATGTCACATGAAAAGATATTCGACAAATGTCACAGATAGTCACAGGGCAGCTGAAATGATAATGAGTGTATGGATTAATCACATTTTTTCTCCATCAGTCTATCCTCGATCTATCCATGATTATGATACCGAAAAAAACACATGTCCAGAAGGGGGAATCAAAAGACACCTTGCCAATGCGCTAGAAAAATTTGACCACAAGACGAGTGAGTGCACTACTCTCCTCGCGCCTCTTAGTAGAGGAGGGCGAAAGCGCCGGCAACGACGGCCAGAGCACCGGTGGTGAAGGCCTGGAGGCCGGCGGCACCAGAGCCAGCAACCGCGGAGGGCGTGCTGCTGGCGCTGGATCCAGAGCCGGATCCGCTGCCGGAGGAGCCGGAACCGGAGGTGGCAGAGGGAGCGGCAGTGGAGACGGTCGAGTTAGAACCGCTGCCAGAGCCGCTTCCAGAGCCGGAGCCGGAGCCAGAGCCGCCGCTGGTGCTGTTGCCGGAGCCAGAGCTGGCGCCAGAAGAAGAGCTGGGCTTAGCGGTGGCAGTGCCAGAGGCAGAGGCGGTCTTGGTGCTGGAGGGAGTGTCGAAGGTGGTGGGGCAGGTGAGGTTGAACAGAGGGGTGGTGGACAGGTCCTTGGTGATGGCGAACTTCATGGAGTTGTCGGGGTTGGAGTCGCGAAGGTTGTACCAGAAGGTGGGGACCTTGTTGAAGAGCTTGCGGCAACCGACCTCCTGCCAGTACTTCTGAGCGTTCTTGGCGCTGGGAACGGCCTGGTCCCAAGTCTCGCCGGTGACGGGCCAGCCGGTCTCGGTGACCCAAACGGGCTTGCCGCCAGCGGTGGCGACGGTGGCATCGTAGGCCTTGTCGAAGAGGGAACCAGCGTTGTCGATGGTGTTGCCCTTGTCGTTCTCGTAGTAGGGGTACTCATCAACACCAACCCAGTCAACGGCGTCGAGGACGGGCTTGTTGGTGGAGTTTCCCCAGACATCCCAGGTGTCGACGTGGCCGATGGAGACCTTGGACAGAGGGGTGTCCTTGAAGGCGGTCTTGAAGTCGTTGATGAAGCCGACGAGGGTCTTGGGGTCCGCACCGACACCAGACTTGTTCTTGACACCGGTGACGGAGTTGCGGTACAAGTCCTCGGAACCGATGGAGGCACCGATGATGAGGTCGGTGAGCTTGGTGCCGTACTTGGTGACGGCGGTCTTCAGGGCGTTGATCTCCTTGTCAATGTTGTCGGTGCCGGAGGTCCAGATACCGAGAAGGATGTAGGTCTTGGTCTCGATGGCAGCCTCGAAAGCCTCAATGGGGTCCTGGGTGGAGTAGGCCTGGATGTTGGTGTAGAGGCGGACAGCGTTGAAGTCACCGGGGGCACCCTCGAGGCCCTGGGCGGTCTTGAACTCGGCCTCGAAGTCGGCCTTGAACTTGGCGGAGCGGTCGGCCTTGGTGGCACCAGAGTTGAAGCCGAGGTAGTTCTGAGCCTCGACGGTGGCCGCCAGGGCAGTGAGGGCAGCGAGAGAGATGGAGGCCTTCATTTTGATTGGATTAATGTGTTAAGAAACGGTCGAAATAATAAAATCGTCGAGCAGAGGAAAAGGGTCCCAGGGTGGTAATTAAGGGCGGACTGGGAAAGACCTTTTTGTCGTTGTTCCGAGACTCTTTGGCTGTGACTATAATAAACAAAAGAGTGTAGTGAGTTGGTGGTTGTCGTGGACCAAAAAGAATGACTGGGAAGAGTGAAAGAGTGAACAGGTCCAAAGGAGGATTCGACAACGGGTGGGACAAAGATGTCTATAAAACACAAAAGGAGGGAAGACGGGGGTCACGGTCAAAAGATGAGTGGAGTGGAGGAGGAGAGAGAAGAAAAGAGTGGAGGAAAACAATGACGGTCGTATTGGCACGTCACGAAATTAAGGAGAGCCCGGGGGTACGGGGTACTTGGGTACCTCACTTCATTAGGTGTGTATATCACGTGAGGGCACACCACACTGCACACCTGAGTCTCGGGGGAGACTCGAAGACTCGACCTTCAGGGCAGTGGCTCCACCGAGGTGTCCAAGTTTGTTTTCCGGGGCTGAATCGATACGTGGATACCTGGCAATTGAGGCCTGGCAAAGTTGGAACCTGAGGTGCCAGTGGATGGAGAAAAACCAGGCACCGCCAGGCATGAGTAGGTACATCGGGGAGGTACCTGGCATTAGCAGCCAGCCCGCTGGGGCCGCCTCCACTTGTGCTGCCACTTGCGCTGCCACTTGTGCTGGAAGGCACCTGAACTTCCTCAAGGACCTGAAGATCTCTCAGCCAATGCATGCACCTGAAGCGCCCCTATTGGACGAACCAGCGCTTTGGCTGACGCAGGGGGAACTTGGTGAGAAAGAACGGACCATGCATTGGCACGGGATTGCTCCTTCCCCGATGTCGTCCCATCATCTTTGCATCTCTGCATCTTTCGTTGTCATCAGCCCGTATAACATACCTCCACTGACGGATATTCAATACTCGTTCTGTGCGCTGTGTCGGGACTCCCGCCCATTGTCACACCTGCATGCATGACGCTGTCCACTCAACATTCTCTCTTGACTATTCTCATATCTGCACTGGTAATTGCATCGATCCCTTAGTGACGCCGGACAGCCGAAGCCTGGACCGCCAGTAGACACGGCCACGCAGTCGATACGCACAAATAGAACACAACCCAACGCCACTACGCGATCGCCAACATTCCTCTCTCGTGTGAGCTGCGTCAGTCTTTGCCAGGACCCTACCCGCTTGCCCGCTTGCCCTATCATGGGTGAGACATTCGGAATCGAACCAGCTCATGTCTTGGGTCGGTGAAATGTTCCAAGAAGAAACAAATCTAACAGCTGAATCCGCCACCCCGTCCGCCATGGCGCCATGCACGCTTAGCTAATCGCCATATAATGCACGCCTTAGAGAGATATATGCAAGGATATGCAAGCATCCTGCACTACTTCAACGACCATGCTGAATGATGTGTAATAGCATGTGAATGTTCTCTGTACCGGCTATTTCCTATACCATACTTCGTCCATATCTAGGTTCTATTCATGATGGCCTCTTCAAGGTTGAACTCCAAGGCCAAGCTACCGGCACAAGACACGGCGGCAAGCCTCAAGCGTCTACTTGCATCTTGAAGTCGAGGATTCTTCAAGTCTCGAAAAGGCCAACCGGACCATCTTGCCCCTCCAACCACCTCTCCATACTCTGGTACATCTTGCTGCAAGCCCTCACATCCCCTCCCGTGACAAGCTTGATATCAATGTCGTACCCCAAAGTACTCTGCGCAGCTCCGAGGTACTTGTATCCCGTAGGGTACCTAGCCAGCACCTCGTCCGCAAAGACTGGTGCCCTGACCCCGTCCACAGGTACAATCTTGTCCTTTTCATAGACAAGTTTGACGTACGCAGCTTTCCAGTGTTTCTCCTCCCCCTCGGTGCCATCACCTCTTTCTCCCTTCGCCTTCTCATAGAAGAAGAGGAACCGACAGTCACAGTCGACGTCGTATTCGTAGCCGTCGTGGTGCTTGAAGCGTTGGGTGATAGTGGCCTTCATCTTGCCCACGGCGCGGCCCGTATTTGGGTTCAGCTCAACGAGAGTACCGCATTCACGGTGCATAATGAAGGCCCCCGACGACTTGTCCGCGATTGATATGCGAATGAAGTCGTCAATGGGCTGTGCGCCGCTCCAAGCTGTGACATGCCATATGGCGTCAGCTTCAGGGGCAAGCAAGATACTTCTGAGAGTAGAAGCATCGTTGGAATGGCCTTGGTGATTCAACGCACTGGTCCAAACGTAGGCATCCTTGGTGAAGAGCGAGCGGTAGTTGGCCCATTCGCTTGCATCGCGGTAGACAGGCCAGCCTTTGCAGAGCTCAGAGACGGCGAGGCGGTCAAGGAGTTCGGTGGAGGTGCCACCGATATGGGAGAATTGGCGGGTGTGTAGGTCTGTCATGTTTCTAAGAGCTGGTATAATGGAATGATGCTTCAATAGAGGTCTGAATCTCCGCAAAGGCGTGGTGAAGTCGTAGCTGAGGTCGGGGTGAATATCCTAGTATGGCAAAATGCGAGTGTTATGATTGGAACGAGGAGAAGTAAGATGTCGGCTCTGGGAACGTAGACAGTTAGATGTAATAGACCTTCCCGATTCAAGTGCCAGTCCCTACTTCAATGTAACAGCCTTGCTTCCCCCATTCATCCAGGCAAATCAGAGTATCGCCACACTTCCGAGGTCCGTACCTCCATCAGTAGAGCAGCTACGAACATGAAACCACCTGGAAACGAATCGTCAGAACCGGCAAAATTATATGAACAAATAATATCAAAAGAATTATGTACAAAATGTTGAAAAAACAAAAAACGAACAGACCATGGGGGTCTGTTCAACGCTCTTTGCCTGCAAGGGGCTTCGAACAAGAGCGCTCGCCAGGTTTCACGGAGGACCTGCTAGCACGAGTATATTTTTACCCTGTCCGCCACCCAATTGAGCCACGCACTCAACGACGTACTGGGTGTCCGCTGATGGAAGGATCAGTGGCTCTTTCGAGTAAGTATGGTAGGAGGTGTCGGCTTGCGGGAAGGAGAGGACCTTGGTGCCTTCCTCGTAGATGTCTAACCTTACCGGGACGGGAAAGTACCTTGGGCAGTCCCGGGCACGCATTCATGAGAGCTTCACGGAGCAGGAACCAAGACCTTGAGGGCTAGGAAAGGTTCCAGAGATGGCAACGGTCTTTGATTCTAGTCCATCTTACCATATCCATCACTCTTGATATCTAGCAACTCCAAGCTCTCTCAGACAAATGCAAGAATGGGATTACTGACAACGCCTCTAAATCCACTTCTTCCACGGAGCATACAGAAAGATGAGGACCACCAGCAAAACAACCAGGGAATATTTCCACCACTGGACAGATACCGCACGACCACCCCCATGACAAATACACGTCTTCACATCCAGTGTCCCCTTCCGCTGGAGTCTTACCCGCCTCAACACGGGACTCAGGCTACTATCACTACCGCTCCCACTTTCACTCTCGTCCTCCCAATCGGTCTCACGAACCGGCCTATATCCCTCGCCCTTCCACCATCGCAGCGGCGGCGAAACAGGCAACCCCGGAGAATACAAGACCCTCCTCAACTTTGACACCCCACCTCTCCTACCAACAGCAATTGCAGACCCAGCCCGTCCAGCAACAGGTGTACTGGCAGGCGTCCTCTGAATACCCACAGTACCAGGACTAATCCCATCACCAGGCGTCACCGCGCCGGGACTATCTTCCGTCCGCTCCAGCTCGGCAACCCTCTGGCTTGCTGATGCCGGCGAGTCTTCCGTCGAGGGGTACGGCGACTTGTTCCCCCAATTCTGATCCGTTCCCCAATCCGGATCCGCCGTCTCCGAGAACGGTTTATTGGGAGTACGCTCTTGAACGGTATACCATACCGTTTTACATGTCGAAACTGTCGCGGATGAGGGGCTCACGGGGAACGTTGGGGTATCGGCGGAGTCCGGGGTCGCTATCGTCGAAGGGGTCGGGGGAACCGAGTGGTCTGGCGTCCAGGGTGCGGGGCTGCGGCCGGCGAAGAGGGGACTGTTTGCATGGCGGCGGATGCGGATCGGAATGGGGGCGCGGCGGCGGCGGGGGGAGGAGACGTACATGACTATGGTTGTGAGAGATCTGAAGGACTGATAAAGAGGTCTCAAGAGATTTGGGCTGAATTAGGGGCTGAGAATTGAGAGATGAAGCTGACTGGAATTAACGGAGTGAGGAAACGTGACTGTTTTGAAGATGCTCAGCATGAGAAGGTAGACTCTCCACGGAACAGGACTTATACAATATGCCACATCACAAGCTTCGACTGCGGAGGAACGCATGAGGAGCAAGGGGCACTTTCAATGTGTGTTTGTAGTTCCCTGATCCGGTACGGTACCATCATCAGTCAAAGAAGCTCGGCCGGGTCGTTTGTCTCCTGTGCTAATTCTGTAGAAGTGAGGGGCTTGGTTGTTACTCGAGGCCTTGGGGCATGGAACGAATTGTCTCCAATCAACCATGCCTCAACTGAACATGGAAACTGACAGCTGCTGGATATTAATTCATGCTTCGCAATTATGTGCTGCCGCCGCCAGTCTCGAACTCATGGCTTGGCTGGGCTGGGCTACGACATGTGTCGTGAAGAGACGTATTGCCTTCCAAGTAATGATGAAATAGTGATGCAGTATACGAGCGGCCTATGGTGTCTACCTAGCTTCCCGAGTGCTATTATACATGCATCTTGTGTGCATCAACATGCTGCTGCAACATCTCCGAACCAATATCAAACATGACCAACACGATAAACCACTACTCATGTTGCATTCTAAAGCTCAGCATAACCTGAAGGACCCATCTCTTCGAGCAGCTGCGGCACGGTCTTCCGAACCAGATCCCAAGCCCAAAGCTCCGTGTTATTAAACGGCATCTTCCACTCACCCAGCACAAAGTCTGAGCACAAGGGGCATTTCAGCTCCCTCGGGTCGAATTTCGACCTGCGGCGATGGGATTTCATCCAGCAGTTCTTCCCCACAACGTGGTTTTCCGAAGGACATTTAACCCGCACAGCTGCGTGCGGATCTCGCCCTGTGCCGAGCGGCTCCATACAGATAAAACAGTCCGTGTCGTCCAGTTTCTGAAGCTCCGCCGCCCTAAGAGGCGCGACCACACTCTCGAGGAGGCTCTGTCTGGAGAACTCGTCTTTAAATCTCAAGGATGCGTTGCGTAGGAGGATGTACTCGGTATGCTTGTAGTGGCCAGGGCTAGTGAGCATGCCACCTGCGTACGCACCACTCCGGAATCCAATAGAGCCCCTTTGGGTAATGGACACTACACTGCACTTGAACAGGCTGACAAATAAGTTGCCTAGGTCTTGGGGGAGGTTGGCCCTCATGACGTCTGTGTCGATGTGCCAGAATTCTAGGAAGATTCGGCTGATGGAAGCGATTCGTGCCTTGGTCAGTCCTGGATCGTGGGCCAGGAGATGCGCAACAAGGTTGGAAACTTGCATGCGGGTATCAAAGTTGGCGGCGACAAAGTCAGCGAACAATGGTGGACGAAAAGAGTTAATCAGAGAGCGTTCCCATTCGTCTCGCCCGCCGAACGAATCGATTTTTTCCGTCAGGCGAGCCGTAAGAACTCTTACTCGGTCCATGATATCAGGGGCACTTTTCAGAACAGGCACGGCCGTGACTTGCCCACTTTCGTGGAGCTTCCGGTCTCCAAGGTTGATTAGAAAGGTGAAGTCGGGCTGTTGGCGGTGGGATTCAGTGTGCTGTTCAACAGATGGAAACTCTGGATCGAGCTCTCCATCGTTGGCCGGCCTCCGGGTGTGGGCTAACAATCGATGATTGAATTCATCGGCGAGGCGATTGCCGGTGTTGGCACCGTGCCAGAACCCTCGCCAAGGGAAGAAATATGATTGGGAGACAATCCGCCGCATAGCTGCAGCGTTGTTGTGAAGTTCAGTGATCCTGTTTGTATCGAACTCCTTGGTGGCATCGTCTGTTTCCAAGCATTCGCAGTAGGGACCATTTTCGACATGGTCTTTGTTGAAGCGGCAGGCTGTCTCGATTTTGCTGACTCGATTGACAAATTGATCATCCGCATTTCCTTCAAATCTAGTCGGAAGCTGCTGTCCCGCATCCATCAATGCCATATTGAGGAATTCGACCATGGATTTGACGTATTGCTCAGTAGCTGCTTGTGCTTCTAGGCAATTCTCATCAACCATGCTCTCGGTAAATCGCTTCGGTTTGGTGAAGGGCTGGAGAAATTTGCCGGTGCATTCGTGACAGGCGATATCATATTCCTCGGATTGCTTGGTCAGGGCTTTCGGGTCTAGACACTCGGCGTATCTCGGGCTGGCGCATCGAACAATGTACTGGAAGGCATGCCGCGAGTATGTTCCACCTGGGAAACATCTAAAGTTCCTCGTGAGAAGGATACACATGGTCAACGTGAGGGTGGCGACAGTGCCGAGTAGTCCGTCAGCAACATCTAAAGATTAGCAAAAAAGAAGAGCAAAGTGTCAAGCCAAGTGTAGTCTGGTTGTGTTTTGTCTCTGTAAGAGGATAACGGTGATGACAGGGTCAAGGGAGTTGAAGCCACGAGTTACTGGGCTGAGTATCCGGCTCGTGGTCTCTCGGGATCGAAAGAACCTCGAGGGGTATTCAGGCATTGCTACTACATTCAGAGAAGTCAACAAAGACAAGCGGCAAACCATTTCTTTGACGCGTTTGAAGAGTAGTAGGTGATACCAGACATCTTCGTCGGGAAAATCTAGAGTCATCCACATCTACGTCGCTTGCGGCGTCAGAACTATCCGAACTCGTCAAAGACAATGAGTCCAAGGAGAGAAGTTACGACTTTTGCGTATAGGTGGAAAAATGACAATAGCAATGGCTCTTTCTTCCAAGTCACAGCACAATGCCCCGGCGCAAGGAGAAGGGGCCCCTTGGGTTCTGGTCCAAGCTGCAAGACATTGTGCATGGAAGACACATGGCACTTGCTCAGAATCTCTTTCATGGTATCCAGGTGACGATACCACGGTTCTACATGTCGTTTGGCGGCAGAGTGTGATGCCCAATTGAGGCAAAGACGAGAGATTGTAGACGACTGCAGGATGCAGCTGCACGGCGGCTAGTGGTGTAGGCCGACTGGCTAGGAGACCGCTGCCAGTTCGCCCTGTCTGTTCGGCCCAGGAAGGCCACCTTGATTGACTTGCTCCCTAATGAGGGAATCCGAGGTGAATCAGCCCAAGGAGCGAGAGGCGTGGCTCATGGAGCGAGTATGATGTTTTCGTTCCGTAGTTGCAATGAAGAGGGAGGGTGCGATGGAATGGGTTGGAAAGGTACAGTTGAGGAAGAAGCGACGACAGATGGATGAGCAGCTGAGTCATCAGTCCAATTAAGTAAGCCAGCCCCTCAAGGTCCCCAGCTGAGCACCTAAGGTACCTTAGAGCTGTAATTCGCAACTCACTGCTGGCACCGAAGACGAGGTGGACAGGATCCATCGTGAGATCCATCCGTTAATATGCCCTGGTCACCGACTCGCCTTCTTCCCATGATGGAACACCCGCAAGCCCCGCTGCCTACTCCAGATAGGCCTCAATTAGCCTTTGGCACTTGTCGACGTGTTCGATCGCGAGCTCACCTGGGCGGCGGGTACCAATTGACCCCTTGGTGGTCTTGATGCCCAACCAGCCGACTGCCATCTCCGTATTTGCCTCCAACCGCACCGCCCTTTGCTCACTTATCACGTCCGGTAACGCAAAAGAACGCTCTGGAGGGGGCGACTACCGAACCTTCAAGACGAAGAAGAAGGAAACGATCCAGCCAGACCAAGATCAGCCAGTGCAGTCGTCGCCATCAGTAGGCGACCATCAGCCCATTGCAGGAGAATGGGAGACGAAAGCCTCACCCGATGTGACTGGCGGAAAGCGGCCCCCCACGACACCATCAGCAATAGCTTCGAGAGACTACTTTTGGGCTACGAGCGGCCCGACGAGTGCGGGAACTGCTGCGGAAGGGGACCATCGCCACGCCTACCACCGGTTCATTGGTTTGGCAGCTGTATGGACCGCGCATAATCGCGCCCAGCCTGCTCCTGAGTGAGAGTCTGCTGCATCTGGAGAATGGCTTCGTCCCTCGGCTGCTCCTTGGATGCGGATATACAGTCTTACACTCCCTTCTTCTTCTCCTTCCCCTCCGCATTCGCTGCACGATGCCACTCTCTGCATATGCGCCCCCGGCGTTGTCCTCTCGGATTCACCACGGAACCTCCTTCAACCCAGGCGAGCTGCCAGCTACCTTACACCGTCAGTGACCCCCGTCCATCTTGCCCATCATCTCATCCATAGCACCCCCAAGGGATGTTGAGGTTAAATATGTCTCGTGGACCTTTGACGTCTTATCTGCTACGCAGGTTGTTCTTCTTTCTCTGCTTCCACGTTCACCATGTCCCAAGCTATTTTTTTCGTACGATTCCGGTCTCCCTCTATTGTGATACTTTGATCATTACTTTACCATTCATATCTTCTATTGTTCGACTCAACATCACCGGCTATCTTTCCCCGGATACTGAATGTATATCCCCCAACCCCTTAATGGCCGAGTGCCGAGAAGCTTCGGTCTCGAGACAGAGCCTCGTTCCCCCGATTTCGAGGTGGCAGCGCGTGTAGGCAAACACTACAATACCGTCACAAAGAGACAGGTCTCGATATCAGGTGGACAGACCACCAACCTGACCGTTGGTGTCACGGTCGGGGTGGCCATCCTCGTATTCATTCTGGGCGCTGGAGCCTTTCTCTACTATTACCGAGTGTCTCTCAAAAAGATCAGTCGCCGTCGGCATCGTCGTCGCCGGCGCCACCACTCCCACAAGTCTTACAGCTCAAGGAGCTCAAAGAGCTCGGCCGACGACGGCCCCGCCTCTCATCCACCGCCACGAGGGCCGCCCTCCGCGCCACGCTCTACCGCTCCGTCCGCCACGCCTGCTGATCCCCCTGCCGACGCGCCGGCCGATGCTCCAGCCGACCCTCCCGCCGACCCTCCAGCTGATGCCCCAGCTGAGAAGTAGTATTGGGTGGGTGCTACACTCTCACCCCCAGGTGAGACTCAAAATATTAGGGAGAGGGCTTGTGAGAGAAAGTCTCAGGTACGTTTATTCCTTCTCTGTAAGGCATCAAAAGACTAACATGGAAGAAGGATTACATGGCCTGACGTGACTTGTATTATGCAGAATTTGACATTTGTCCGGAGCGGGAGTTGGTGGACGGAATTCCAAGGCGAACCCAGGCGCCACTACCTTTCCTACTGAACCCAGTAGTGTTGTACGTTTGCGCCATGTATAATCTTGAATTGATGTTGTTTTGTTCTTTGTCTAAAGCAGCTCGATTTATGTATCTCTTGGTTCTATATGAACAATGGTTTAGCCTTTGAACCTCCAACCAGTATTTGGAACACTCGCCTCCTTGCCCAGAAGGGCCGAACCTCCAAACATGCCTCCCTCGGGAGACCGGCTTCATCACTATACAGTCACACGGCCTCCATCTCATTGTCATTCACAATCACAGCTCCATTACCAGCAGCCTCCCTTCTCAGATCTCGAGCCTCGGGCGGGATGCCACACAAAGAATCGAAGAACGAGTAGCAACACTCGTTACAAGTCACCTCCCTGTCACCATGTACATCGTCTTCCGTAGCGAACTGCTCCAGTCGGAAGTTGGGGTCTACGCCCCATCCCATTTCTAATCCCATGTCCTGGCCAGGCGCCGGCCCGTAGTCGATGAAGCCGTCGCCCAGCGGCAAGTCCATACCGGGAGCCATGCCCATGCCCATGCTCATTCCAATACCAGCTACCGGAGCTGGATGCATGGGCATAGCTGTCATGGGAGGCATAGGCATGAATCGTATCGTAGGCTCTCGAGGCTGCGAAGATCGTTTACTCCCCCGGTGAGACTTGACCTTGGCCTTCCGCTTTGCTTTCTTGCAAGCCTTCTTGGGCCTCGCCTTTCCCTTGGCATGATGATGATGAAAGCCGTGTTTATGGTGGTGGTGGTGATGATGATGCGTCCACCCGTGGACGTGCGGGTGACGAGGAGAATGTACGTGGGCATCCATTTTAGGCTTCGGATGTACGCGGTGGATATGAGGCTTGTGTATAGGAGGCTTGTGAGGGTGGACGTGCTGTGCTTGAGGGTCCGTCTTTTTGCGCGGTTTGGGAGAGAAGACGCAGTTGAAGCAGAAGTATATGAGGCTCACGGCGGCCAGGCCGCCCACCAGACAGCCTATGAGCATTCCTGCTATTCTGCCTTCCTCGCCACGACGGACCAGGTGACTTGTCGGGACTGGAGATGTTGGTATTGGCGACATGTCAGGGGCGGCCGAGGTCTGGCCTCAGCTGGTTTTTTGCCGTTTTTCGTGTTCTAGTCATCGGCTTGTTCGCTGTTCTAGCATCGCCATGACTATTGCCTTTTTCCTTCCATCTCAGGGGGTAGTGACGATAATTGTATGAATCATCGTCGGTCTCTCCCAGGTTTGATAGCATCGTTAACTTACAAAAGCTAGCTTGCTAGAAGATAAATCTTCAGGGGAAGTAATGAGACACATTCTACACAATTGACGCTTTAGGAGCAAGCAGCAAGCCCACGACAATCTGTCTCTTCACGCGGTCTGATAAGTTGGCAGTTTCACGTACGCTTCCACGATCCCCAGGAAGCAAATTCCAAACAGCTGGATGAGGCGACACAATGCAGCACACGCATCAAATCACCACATGCTCGTTAACCCGTCATGTTTGCGTTTGCGTCCACGATACAAGCTGGCCATTGCTGACTCTGCGACCTCTGCATCCGAAAAACGTGCTTGCGGCAGCTCAGGTAGCAAACAAGACGGGACGGGAGAAGACTGCGACTATTCTAGATTCTACATTATCCTACAAACCACACGTTAAAACACCCATCCACCCCTTCAGCCACATCGGTGCCGAAAATTCAAAGGAAAGAGAAACCTGGGTATTACCTCCGTGCTACTGGGTATTGCCATTCCAAACCGTCTTCGAAATCATCGCTCATCAATCTATGTACGGAAAAGAGAATCTGGGTATCTCATATACGCACTTCCTCTGCGAAAAGGATAGAAACCGCCCCCGTCAACCCCTCCGCCGACCGCGCCTTCCTCCCTCCTCTCCTCCCGTTCCCGAATCTGCACCAGAACAGAACCAATAGCCTCCTGCACCTTGCCCGAGCGCTCCATAAACGCATCGTAAAACTCGCAGTCGGCGTGTCCGGGCTGTCGCTCGTTCAAAGAGATGAGCGTGTTGGACAGCGTCTCCATCTCCTCCTTGAGCGGCGCGTAGTCGGTCCCGTATCCGCGTCGGCGGCGGCGGTGGGTATCGTCATGGCCGCGATGGTGTCTTGACGGCGAGGAGGGAGAGCCGTGTCCGTGGGAAGGGTACCCGTCGTCGCGGCTGTGGCGTCTTCTCCGGTCACGGTCATCGTCTTTGCCACCGCTGCCGTGTCTTCTCCCGTGAGAGCGATCTTGCGAATGTCCGCGAGAGTATGAGTCGCGGTCTCGGCTGCCTCTTCGTCCCTTGCCATGTCTCCGTCTCACGTCTTCCTCTTCATCGTCCTCCCCTCCACCGCCACCGAAGCGCTCCATAGCTTTGAAGAGGATGTTCTTGCCCAGGTGCTCCAGCATCTCCATGTCCATATTTGGAACGCCGCCTCTAGCGCGCTCGTCTTCGTCGTGGCCATGGGTGTTGCGTGTGCTAAGGCGCCGGTCGTTTCTGTGTCCTCCTCCATTCTTGTCTTCGTCGCCGCCGCCGCTCAGCTTCTTCATGTACTTTTGTACTGCATATTCGACGAGTCCTCGAGCGAGGGTCTCGATGATGATTTCGATTTGGCCGTGGTTGTTGCCGCTTCCGCCTCCGCCCCCGCCGCTGTGTCGGTTGCGATTACGGCTGCCGCGGTTCGGGGATGGCGCGGTGTTGCGAGAACGTGTTAGTGTGCGTAGTAAACCATCCATGACCACGGGGGATCGATATGCATTGGGTTTCGTTGTGCTGATTGTGCGAATGTGGTAAAATGTGAGTTGAGCGAGTGTGAAAGTTGTAAAGAGCGAGCGCTCAGTGGTGTAAGTGAATCACTCTCGGAAATAGTGAGGGTGCAAAAGAATGAAAGGTAAAAAGTGAGAAAAGAGGAAATGAATCGCTCTTCTTTTTCTTTTCTGAGGCCCTCTTTGACTTTATTTTTCCGATTCAGTAGCTTGCGGGTTAAAACTTCTTAGCTTGGTCATTGGTGGCGCGGCGAGTCGCGCGGGTGGTTGTTGGTCATGTGGTGATGGTGTTTTCTCATGTGATTGAGTGTCCGTCTGCCTGTGTGCAAGTGAGACAGTAGCACTCAGGCGCTGAAGAGAACTGGTGAGTATTAAGTAGTCAGTTGGTCGCTCTTTCCAACTTTGCGCAGGCAGAGGGCAGAATGACTTTTTCCGTTTTCGAAATGACCCGCGGTCTGGTGCGGATTCAGCGTGGCTCAGTTGTCTTTTGTTTTGGGGCAGTGTGATTGATTGTTTTGTTGGTGGTGACTGAATGAGCAAGTGAGATGAGAGCGATAGAGTCACAGACTAGGCGCAGCGTGTGAGGCAGCCCGGGGAAAAGCGGGTTATCGTCGGAAAAGTTGTTTCGCTGCCTGAGAGACATTGCATGTAGACTTCTGGATGACCCTGTATTTATTCGTGGTTTGCTTCCACGTCCAAGAGGTCTTTGGTGAATATGGATGCTCGAATACTTGTGGTTTCGGCCTCAAGGCGTAGGTATGCGAAGGAACAGCCGTACGCGAGGGTCAGCTGGGGGTGAAACTGCGACCACTTCTTCAACTTGGAAATGATTATCATGAGTAATTAACTTAGCATCCCAGTGTCCAAAATCTCCTTCATCATAATACCTCGTCCTCTGGGCAAGTGCTTCAGAGCCACACTGAGAGTAATGTCATGCTCGCTCATAGGCCGTTCTGCGACGTCAAACCTAGCATAATATTTGACACTTCTGCACACTGTTCATTAACATATACAGGAGACGGGTTTGAATATGTCCATTTGAAAACACTTGCGCCGTGTTACCGGCAAGTTCGTGCTGGACCGGCCTCTTCCACCGGTGCCAAGCACTAGGTACACTATGTTTATCATTGATCATGCCATCTCAGGCACTTTTCCCCAGGGACGCCTTGTAAATGCACATATGCCAACCATGAGAACCATTACGTGAGACTTTCCCCTTAGCTGAGAAGCTCCTTGATGTCCTCGATCCGCGCAAGCTTCTTCTCCTCGTCGCTCATCATTCCTAAAGACGTAGCACTAAGGGTATCAAATCAGCAAATACTCGGTCATCCAGCACGCCGGGCGGGTCAACTCACATAAACTTCTTCCGGTCCTGTACCCGAAGCATCCTCTCCTCCACGCTTCCTTTGACGATGAAGCGGTACACCTTAACCTCCTCATCCTGACCCATGCGATGCACGCGATCAATCGCCTGGGCCTCAACTGCAAAACTCCACCAAGGATCCATCATATACACTCTTTTTGCAGATGTGAGGTTTAGCCCCACGCCACCAGCACGAAGACTGATGAGCAGCACAGTGAACGTCTTTGACTCTTGGAACTCGGTCAGGACCGCCGCGCGAGCCTTCTGCGCCATGGATCCGTCGAGGCGGAGAAACTTGATATTCGCCCGCGCCAAAGCCGGCTCAATCAGCGTCAAGAACGATGTAAATTGGCTGAAGACAACAGATTTGACCCGCGGCTGCTCCCTTCTCAGGTCACGCAGGGCTTTGATCAAAGTCACGACCTTGGCCGAGGAGTTATTCACACCCAAGCGCTGTAGACTAATCTTGGATTTCTTGAACACGTCCGGGTCGTCGTCGTGGCGAACAACCTCGAATAGGTCACGATAGTTGATCTCGGCTCGACAGTTGGGGCAGGTCGGCACCTTATGCCGATCCGTCTGGTGCTTCATGTAGTCCAAAAGGCACTTCTTGCAAGCAGAGTGCCAACATCCAGTGACCGTCTGCTCGACCATGGGCTCTTCAGCGCAGATCGGACACTCGCTCTCGGCTTCGTCCCGGATCTGTCCGAGGATATGGGCTCCAAACGCAGCTGTGTTGGATTCCGTCTCGGATATAGCTGCTGTGAAATGTTCAATCAGGGAACCTAGGTCCATGTCGTCCGCAAGGCCGGCAGCCATATCGGCCGCAGCTCCAGCTTCTACCTCGTCCGCAACGAGCTCCTTGTTTCGTACCAAAACTGGGTGGCAACAAGACTGTCGAAGGCGCAGAATGTGGGCAAAAATGCTAGTAAACGCTTTCATAACCGTGCCTGCTTCCACGTTCTCTCTGAACGACTGCTTGGCCCTCGTGAAGATGTAGTCGTAAATCTCTCGTTCGGTCTGGCTGAGCTCGACATCGACGATCTCAACATGTTTCGGTGGGAGGGGGACCAGTCTTCCAAGAGTTAGCTAGGGCGTAACAATCCAGGATGCATCCACTTACGGCTCGCCCTCAGGCGTCTTCATGTCTTTGGTACGTCTGAGAACCAGAGGCTCCAACACGGTCTGCACCACGTCAAGTGCCCTCATAAAGTCCTTGGACTCGAAGGGGACGGTGATGAAAGTCTTCCAGAACGAAAAGTTGTTCCAAGGCTCCACACGGAGGAAGCGAACCAGACTGAACAGATCCTCCAGCTTGTTGACGATTGGCGTTCCAGTCAACACCCATCTGTGATCGGCAGATATTTCGTAACACGCTTTGGCAGTTTTTGACTGTCGGTTCTTGATGTGATGGCCCTCATCCAGAATGACGCGGAAAAAGTTGAGCGAGAACAGTCCGGTATGAGACGACTTGTCACCCTTTCTAGCCGCAACTTGGTTGAACTCTGACAACACTACACCGTAACTGGTAATGACCACATCAGGCGCAGACGCTGCGCTCGCGGCGCAACACACGGCTTGAAGATTAGTGGCCTTTTCGTTGCCATAGTACACGATGGCCTTGAGAGTGCCTTCTTTCGAAGCTTTCTCGGCCTCACTATGCCACTGCGCCAATAATGACATCGGTGCCACGACGAGTGTTGTACAAGGCGCATCTAGCACGCTTGATGAGTTGGAGGCAAGCCTTGGAAGCTCGTTGACGGACGTAGGGAGACTACCCATCGCCTTGGCTTGCTGCGCGATGTCAGAGCGGTGAGTGTGGACTAGACTGAGCATCTGGATGGTCTTGCCGAGACCCATCTCATCGGCTAGGATACCACCGAGGCAGTTTTGCTCTTGAACAGGGAAATCGAGAGAAAGGTCTCCCGAGTACGGGTTGACGTAGAAATGCTGCTGGTCGTGAACCTGGGGAAGCTCCTTTTCGTCAGTATCCTTGAGTGGCCATGTGTATTCCTCCCACAGAGGGTGCATGCTTGGCTCCCTGTTGCTCTTCTGGTCCTTTTCCTTGGTCATCATCCAATGCAACGCTTGCTTCTGATAGGGTCTCAGGTTCATAGCAAAGGTATCGGCAGGTTCCGCTTCGGGTGTGTTAAAGTCGAATGATTGGGCCTTGCGGTAAAGAGCATCAAGCTGGTCTTGCTCCAGCTCTTCACCCTCCTCTTGCTCGTCTGAAGGGGGCGAAGACCCGGGCGCTCGATCGTTTGTCTTGGCAGCGTCTTTCTCCTTTTTCTCATCCATCTCTGCAGCCTGCAGCAAGCCTTGCCGCTGGTGTTTGGACGCTGTGGCATTGGCTCGCGTAGGTTCAAGGTTGATCTCGGAAAAGAGCTTCACCAACGCCACTTGCCTGAGGCGCAGCTCCTTCTCCTCGGTCGATTCTTTCTCCTCGAAGAAATTGGTCGCCCTGTTTTCCGCCACCTTGAAGCCAGGCCGATGAAACGCTGAGGCAAGCAGATGACACTTCAACTGGATAAAGACGGTGTCGTTCGTTCGCAAACGCTCAGGGGCGTACACGCAGGTACCCTCAAACTTGCATATTTGCTGATCCATCAACGTTGAGACCCATTCGGCTGTTTCTTTCTCCAACCTGCCAATCTCGGACCCGCTGCTGTTTGTAAATCGCACTAGTACGTCGTTTCGCTTTGAACCTGCAGCTGGGCCACGCTGAGGAGCATTTGCGACGCCGAACTTGGTATGTAACTTGGACTTTGGCGGCTGGATCTTTTGCCGTTCAATTTTGACTATATCACCATGGTTAAGAAGGTTGGCTCCGCTCCGTGTTGCCCAACCCTCAACGCCGAGAGAACCGATATATCTTGCGTCGGGCATGGTTCGTCTAATCACGGGCTTTGGTGCATCCTCCATGGGAGAATCTTGCTTGGTGGTATTCGCCGCGGCTGGTGGTGGTCGAGAAATGGCACCGAAAGCCGGGGATTTCTTCTTGAGGTTCTTCCACGTGCCATCGAAGTACATGTTTACGGCTCGCTCGAGGTTGTTGTCGCAGCTATCCCGAATTATGTCCAACACCTCCGCCGTGACCTTGTCTCCTATGAAGCTCTCAAAGGTCTCCTGGTCGAAGGTCATGGCGGACTCTTCGCGCTGCACAGCTGCAGACGGGCCGGATCGGTTGGAGGCATCGTCGACTGGCTGTTCTAGGAGCGGTCCACGTGGTTTCGAGGGCGAAGACGGGGGTTCAGCATCCTCGCTCTTGATTTGGGGTGAATGATCGTCGACATCTTGGAAAAATCGCTGCTTCGGTTGCGTTGGTGGGGTGGGTAGCACCGGGCTGGACTGATGGCTCAACACATCGTCGTCCGAGGCGGCAAAGAAGCGTCTCCTCTTCGCCGGGGGTTCGGGAGACTGTGGGTATTCCATAGCTGTTCAAGCTGCCGCCATGAAGGTTTCCACGATGGCGGGTCGTATTGGGTGGTCTGCCACTGACACTGAACGAGACGAACCGCCACAAAAAGTTACCTGGGCAAGGGACCTAGGTTCGGGAGACGCGAGGCGAATCAGTCAGCGCGACGGGGCGCGTCGGGTCGTCATGTGACTGCGTGTCTGCTGAGGTAAGTCAATTAAGAGACACCCCGGCAAAGACGTCATTACTCAATCACAAAAGTCCAACCTCGGAGTTTTAGTGCACTTACACAGTGTAGCAGCAGCAGCGGGCAAAAAATAAGGCCCCACAGCTCTCCTTCCAGCTGCAACTCGCGAATTTCAGAAGCAGCACCGACATGGCGCATCACACCAGCGTCTTTTCCTGAATGAATCGCACAACACGGATCGCCGGCCATGGCCTGAGAAGGCTCGTCCAGACCCCTCCACAGGGCACGAGGGGCATCGTAACAGATGTAGACGTCGTCAAGGCGAGGAAATACTGCCAGTCGCAGCTCCAGTACGGCCACATCCTAGACCATAGCTTCCAAAGATGCTGACTTCCCAAAAAGACACAGCGACTACGATGCGCACATAATAAGCCGCCTCATCCCGGCGCGTGCAACAGACACCTACCTCGCCCTCCGCAGCCTCAACCTCGAACTTGTCCGCCTCCCCGAGCTCGTCTCCAACCCGACCATCGGCCAGATGCGCATGCAGTTCTGGCGCGACTCCATCGACAAGACCTTTGCCGGCGCGCCCCCGGCCGAACCGATATGCGTGCTCCTCCATCAGGCGCTGCAGGACCTGCGCGCGCGCTCGCCAGGCAACGCCACAGCGAGCTCCATCAAGTTTTGGGTGCAGCGGCTCGTCAAGACGCGGGCGAAGCACATGGACAATAGACCGTATGCGTCGCTGGCCGCGCTGGAGGAATACGCCGAGAACACGTACTCGACGCTCATGTACGCCACGCTGGCGTCGATGCCGCTCCGCTCCATGCAGGTGGATCACCTGGCGAGTCACATTGGGAAGGCGTGCGGCATCGTGGCCGTCTTGCGCGGTATTCCTGTGCTGGCGGCGCCGCAGCAGCAGCCCGCGAAATCCCATGCCGGACCGGGCGGCGGACGACAGGATCCCGCGCTTCTCCTTCCGCTGGACGTCATGGCGGAGGTCAACCTGCGGGAGGAGGATGTCTTCCGATACGGCCCACAGGCAGAGGGCTTCCAGGACGCCGTGTTCAAGGTAGCTACGCGGGCCAACGACCACCTCATCACGGCGCGAGAGATGCTCAAGAATCTCAAGGCTGGGCAGGATGCTGGTCACGAGTTTGAGCACCAGGGAGAGGCGGAGCACGTGTACGAGCCGGAAGAGGATGACACGCAGCGGGACCTTCGACGAGGGTTCGGAGTGCTGCTTGAGGCTGTGCCGGCACAAGAGTACCTCACGAATCTCGAGGGGACCAACTTTGACCCCTGGACGGTGAAGCCGAGCTGGAAACTGCCTTGGCGTCTCTGGCGGGCGACGAGCAAGAGCCAGATCTAAGTGGCCACAATGACAATGGTTCTGTATAATCACGTATCTGGCGGTGTTACAACATCAGTGGGTTGGCTATGTAAGAGTGCAGTGTAAGACTAGCTTGGCTTCTCGTTGATGAGGCCGTGTAAAAAAGTAATCATGCTCCCCATAAGGCCTAGGAATCATTTCTCAATCATGACTGAGTTGAAGCGTGAACCCCATCGAGAGACCCAGTGCTGACATTTCCGTCACCTGGATTGGCCGATTCGTCCGCGGGGACAGTGCCAATGACCAACCTAATCACGCGCCACACGGCCGTGGCTGAAGCTCCCTTTAGACCCCATATTTCCATGAGATCTCAGTACCAGCCACATCTCGGAAAATTCCACTCTGTGGCGCATGGACTCCCGAAATAATTTGGCAATCGTCAATTGGAGCTTCTTCCGAACCTCGAATCATCCGCAGTATAGCGTCAATGTCGATATCAAGATGTTGTACGAACTCATAGGAATTGTAAGTCGCTACCCAAAGTCTCCTGCCGACATCTTCTCTTTGGAATAAGTAACTAACATCATCTTCAGGTGCGACCGGGCTCCCTCGCCGAGGTGAAAGAGTACGCGATCCCTCCATCTCTACCCATAACCCCCTTCGATCCCAAGACCTCCATACCTCCCGCCATTTACCATCGCAAACCCTCTCTCCATCACGCAATACCCCCGATCACTAACCAAAACCTCTTCGATAGAATCGCCCTCACCGCCGGCCAAATCGTCCTCCGCAACGGCGGCGTCATCCGCGGCATCTCCAACTGGGGCGTCTTCACCCTCCCGCGCCCCGTCGCAAAGGCCCAGATGAAGCACAAGGCGGGCCACTACTTTGTCATGCGCTACGACGCCTCCTCCGCCACCCACAACGACATGCGCACCACAATCAACCTCGACCCCCGCGTCATCCGCACCGCCCACGTCAAGCTCGGCGACGGCAAGCTCGAGACCATGGCCCGCTTCGGAGACGTCAAGTGGGATCAATGAGCGCGTTTTCAAGGGGAAGGAAAAAAGAAGACGGCCCCCAGACGTGAGAGGGGCATGGAAAAGAAACCAGGGAATATGTGGATCATCACCGCCGCGGATGAAGAGTGGGAGACCGCACAGCGTGGGGTATTTGATTCTCCTTCGCGTGGGAGATGGAAATCGTGGCTCGCGGGCCTCAAAATGACAGTTGTTGTATGATACGGGATCCACCCCCGAGCCGGCGCCGGGGACATTTGATTGCGCGTGTATAGAACCGACGACAGTTCGGAGTGTATAAATATGTGGCACGCCACTGATATAACCTGGACGGAATGGTTTACTAAACTACTGCGTTAAAAGAATATGCACTTTTTTTGCACTGAGGCTTTTGTCAATCTGATATTCGCAGTCCATAACTGCATGCGCTAGGCTAATGCTGAAAATCTCTACCCTTGGTCATGGTATCTGGCCTCCCGATGTAGCCTATCCCTGTGGTTTCAGCGGCCTCGCTGTCGATAGACGTCCCGCTGCTATGTACCAAGTGTGTGTGTGGAAGGCGGGCCGATTTGCACTCCTCCTACCGTCGTCGGTTTCGTCCCAGTCATTATCTCAATGACCTTTTGTCGTGAATTTCGGCCTCATGTGGTGATGCCGATCTGTGGTCTGTTGCAATGCCTTCAGGCGTCCAAGTCCATTGTCTCGGACTTGCCAATCCCTCTCTCTTTGCACCAAGCCACGAAGTCATCAATTACACTGGGCCATGCTCCATCCTCGTTCCAGAAAGACAAGGACTCATCTGCCATGGACTTGGTCGCAAATTCCAGAATCTGGTTCCACATGTCGCGGTTCACAGATCTGGTCCACTTCTCTTCGAGGAACTTCAACCACAGCTGCAGCCAGTCCTGGTTCTTCGTCTTCCACTCCCAGCCTGGTGGCGAAAAGAGGACGTTCCAGTAGACTGTAGCAATCTCGAGGTTGAGTGCTTTTTGGGTCGGCTCCTTGCTGGCAACAAAGGTGTGCCGATACACCTTTCTGAAGTAGGCAGGGTCAGTTGAAAGACTGCTGACCAGTGACTTGATGTGAGAGACGTGCGCTTGACGCGTCGCAGCACTGTACTCATGTTAGTATACTGGAGGCTGACGCTGGAAAATTTGTTCATACCCAGACACCTTCCAGCCATCGACAAAGCCTTTTCTGGTAATTTCTCCAACAGACGGTGCCTGAAGGAGTTCCATCACGACCAGCAGCTCAGCGTTCTCGATGTTGACGCCCAAGTCGCCGAGGTATGCCATGGTAGTGTCAAGACCCAGTGTGTTCTTCTCGTCTTTGGAGTCATCTGCCTACTGTTAGTCATGGAATCAAGGGGCTAGGCTGTGAGATCATACCTCGTAGCTTGTCAAACATTTGATTCAACGAAGTATCGAGCGCTGAAGTCGTGGGGGTGGAAGTTCCGCTGGCGCCAGAGAAGTATCTTTAGGAATTGTCAGTCACTGCTTTTCTGCAACATAAGAGGCGACAACTCCATAAGAACGCGAACATATGTGAGTTATTGAAGCTTCAAAAGACGCAAGTCGACTGGCAACTTTGCGCAGGACATGGCACACCGAATGGGTGGAATACCCAGACTGGTTCTTCTCCTCAGCAACGAGGTTATTTTTTGATGCCTTGCGTCTCGAAGACCACAAACTCAAGCCTTTGGTAGGCAAGGCATTCTTCACTCCTTTCCACCCCATCGTCTTGATGCTCCTGCCTTGTCTCGGCGTCAATCAGTCTCAACGTGCTTCGGGGTTCTGGCGCATCCAAGAATGAAGCACGTCGGCTGGTGCGGAACCGAGACAACTGATAGAGGCTCGAAAAGGCAAAGGTGTGCTGAATGCCTGTAGCCGTTTGTGACGAGATGCTTAGGAAGATGAAGAGTGCTAGCCAATTTCTCCATACAAAGGACCGTGACCTTCGTGGTGGTCGGATATGAGTGGCACCGGGGTGACAGCCGGCCCAGTCCGGAAAGGCGAGGCACTTGCGTCAACTAGATCGACCAATGGACGGGAGACGGCCGATCAAAGCAACGACGGTGGCGGCTTGCCATGGCAGTTCGTTGCTTTAAGAGCCATTTCGTCCGCGTGAATGTTTCAGGAGCAATTGTCGATCGGCGTCGGCTCGGCCTTTCTCCTGCGGTGTGGGCAACAATGTATCCCCAAAGAGTGAACTGTGACCTCGTAGCTGCAGAGGTGCCTCTCTCCGACGCGACGGGTGCATTGGAGCAGCGCAACGCTGAGTAGCGCTGCGAGGGGGGTTCGACGGCGTTTCCCCCACAAAGGGCATCTCAGACCGGACCAACGACCGAGCAAGTCAAGTATGTGCTAACGCGGTATCCTTGCGTGCGCTGCAGGCCAAATTGCCCGAGAAGGGCCGGCGCATGGTGAGATGAGTGGTTCGGATAACATGATACGGGCGGTAAAAGGCGATGGCAGAAACGGCCATGTCCAGCAAACAAATGGGAGCGAGCGAGACCAAACGAAACGAAACAAAACCGCGGCGTAGAAAATAGGAAACCCCGTGTAGTATATCGGGTGAGTTGCACTTACGCATCAACGGCTTCATTGAGCTTGTATCCGGCGTTCTTCAGGTACTATTCGGAAGCTTGTAGTCAGCATTCCATTCCGCCTTCGCAATCCAGCGGCCCGGTGAGCGGTCTCGTCGTCCACCAGCTGCCCCCCTTCCCCGCCAAGGCAGTATCGCGTCGATGCCCAGTAATGCTCGAGCTACGAGACAGCACAACGCAACGCAGCGCAATGTAGAGTAGCGGCGCACGACAGGCTTCGACGTTTCGCCGACAGTTCAACAACGAGCTCCACGTTTTGCGAACCGACGAGGACGATGAGGGGTTGGGAAAGCGCATGCGTCGCATGGTAGACGAGAAACCGAGGCAGCAACAGCGATAGGGTATTCTTCTCTGGGCTTGGACTCACCCTTTGTGCAGTTCTGTCGCTTGCACCCGTCAACTGAACAAACTGGGTGGTCATCGCCTTCTGGGAGGTCGATGTCGGCGCCATTGTGCTCGCAGCGGTTCTACCTCCGTCTGCGTGTGGCCGTATTGCCCAAAACTATCTTCCTGGTTCGGATGTGGGTTGAGGGAGTCGCGTGACGCAATTTGACCGCTTTCAAGAGTCGGTGACGATGCGACGACTGAGGGCGTCGGCGATAGGGCAATACGCTTCGTGGCAGAGAGGAAGAGGTCGATAGTCAGCCGCTTGTTGAGGAGACGAGGCGAAGTTCGTGCAGGTCAGACGTGACGCGATGCGTGAGATTGAAAGTCGCAGTCGCAGTGGTGTGGTCAGTTGGGAAGGGAGGAGAGTATGGTGGTGGAAAAGAGCTTCGAAGGGGTGGGAGCGAGCAAGGCTGAAGCCGAGTTGGTGGGGTAAGAGCCAACAAGCGATGCCTTCCACTTTGGTTGCTGAAGGTCTTCCTGCCTATGGCGGGGCAGTTTGTGGTTTTTGGGCGGTAAGGCTCTCGGTCCTCAGTGATCACCTCACTCCAAAATGCCCTGCCTTGAGGTGCTGTACCTACTCCGTACCTTTGGTGCAATGGCGGACCGTGGACGGCGGGAAGTGGGACCTTCCGACCGCAAGAGCCCGCATCTTTGACCCCGCCTTCCTCATTGGGCCTCATCTTGGAAGGAACATTCTCCCGCGTTTCTATGCGTGCATCTCATACTCACCGGCCTCGTTGAATTCACTGCAAAGACTCTCGGACCTTCTTCTGCTCATTATTTCCAGTTACTCTGTTTCATCGCCTCCATCCTCGTCTGAACTTATTGCGATGAGGTACGAAGGCTGTCCCATCATATCTCATGCGTGAAAGGTACCTTAGACGATATCGGTGGACAACTCCTCTCCTATCTGATGACATACTCACCAAAATTCAATATCACTTCTCTAAATGAGACTGCTGTAGACCTCCTTAATTCCTAATTCCCAGCAAACTGGCTCAAGGCTATCTCTTTTCTTTTCTTTTCTTTTTTTTCAATAAACATATGAGGCTTCATGTCATGCCATGAGGGTTACGATGATGAGCCAAACCCAAGACTGAGACTACGACATTTATTCTTGAGGAGCAAGATCGGTTTGTATGTGCCGTGAAAAATGAAGTTACCTTGACTGATCCGTTCAACTGAAAGCTTTCAGTCGAACGTTCTCGCAAATCAATGATTCAAACGCATGTCCATGTGAGTAAGGTTTGGTGAGGAAGCTGAAGTGAGATGAAGCCTGAGACTCGGCTCGTTGTGTAAGGCATCTTGCTGGTCTGATAATTGCACTGTGTTCTTCCTCAGAAAAGCAACATCTCCACGACGTCCATCGTCCAAACGCACAGTGTCAACACTTGACAGGAAGCCCCACCACGAATGACGTCTACCAATGGCACTTGTTGCGCTTGGCAACTGTTTTAATTGATTGGGCAGGCAGCAGACGCGACTTTTTTTCTCGACGCGCCGTCCCGCTGTTGCATGAGGTACCTTACTGTACCTAACCTTACACCACAGCGACAAAGACCACCTTCTTTGAGAACACCCAACCCTCGACAGGATACTCGGTCTTGAATGCTGCCTCGAGGACCACATAGCTACCGACATGCCATAGGATGGACTCCCCTCGCAGTCGGGACTCGAGCGAGCCGGCCATCGACCCTGCTCATCCTTTCAAGGGCGTTGTCGTGTGCTGCACAAGCATCCCGCCAGACCAGCGAGTAAGTTGTGGTGATGCACACATTCATTCGCCCCTCTGTCTACCCTGATCCGATCTCCATGCTGCTTCCCATAACCTCGCCATGTCCCATTTTCTCACCTTCATATAGACACAAGTAGCAACAAAGACTGAAGAACTCGGGGGCATCCACAAGTACGATCTAACACCCGACGTAACACATCTTGTCGTAGGAGACTACGACACACCCAAATACCGACATGTCGCCAAAGAAAGAACCGATATCAAGGTCATGGATGCCAAATGGATCGATGCAGTGGGAGATCTATGGATGAAGGATGCCGATATTGACTTTGCCGCCCTCGAACGAGAGTGGCAACTCAAGCCGCTGGAGACGTGCGGCCATGTGGTCGATGCATCCGATTCTACTGAAGCTAAGCGCGGGAGTCTGTTGCTTTGTATGACTGGCTTCGACGATCGTAAGCAAAGTTGACTGGCTTTCTTTCCATTCCCAACCTGACCTTTCATAGCCGATCAACGCAACAGCATCATCGAGAAAATCACTTCCAACGGCGGCGCATATACGGGCGACCTAACAAAACGAGTCTCGCACTTAATAGTCCGAAAACCCGAAGGAAAGAAGTACAAGGCCGCCAGAGCATGGAATATCCGCACGGTATCGCTGGCCTGGCTCGAACAGAGCATCGAGCGTGGCCTGATCCTCGACGAGCAGTGTTTCGATCCCGTCCTGCCGGCCGAGGAGCAAGGCCAGGGCGCCTGGAACAGAGTAACACCGAGGAAGGCGTCTGCAGGGAAAAGATCGAGATCAGGCGCTGGCGAGATTGGCCAGAGAAAGCTCAGGAAAACGGCCAGCATGAAGCTCGGTAGCCAGCGAGACATGCTTTGGGGAGATATCCTCGGTAACAAGCCTTCCGGCGAGTCCGCCAGGCCTGGTGATACGGCGGACAGGATTGAAGTTCAAGACTCTGGCATCCACGATCGAATGGTCCAGCCTGCCCCCGACGCAGGCATATTCTCTGCATGCTCTTTCTTCATGTCTGGGTTTGAGCCATGGAAATCCAAAATTCTTGCAGACACCATTGTTTCCCTAGGGGGACAAGTTTGCGACTCCTTCCAAGAACTTTCCACCAAAGGCTATGAGGCGAGGTCGACTCGCCGGCTTCTTATTGTCCCACAAGAATCCCAGCCTTCAACACACCTTCGGGTCCCGCCTGAGCACATCGACAAGATCCAAATAGTGACCGAGTTCTTCATCGAGCGATGCCTGCATAACAAAGCTTTTCGCGATCCAGACAACCATATTCTAGGTCGCCCGCTACCAGTATTCCCAATTCACGGCTTCAAGGATATCTCCATCTGCACGGCGGGGTTTAGTGGAATCGATCTGCTGCACGTGGAAAAGGCAATCACACAGATTGGTGCTCGATTCGCGTCAAGGCTTAACGACACAACCTCGGTGCTGGTGTGTAGGGCGCTCGCGGAAACGAGGAAGGAGAAGCTGAAATTGGCCCTCGACAATAACATCCCAGTTGTCAGCTCGGAGTGGCTTTGGGAGTGCATGACAACAGGTTTCAACGTGCCAATCAAGGAGTTCATGTTCCCTGAACTGGGTCAGCCTTCTAGTCTCCAGCCCAAGCCAAAGCCCAAGGAGACAACTAGGGAGGATATGAAGCAGGCTTTCCAAAGGACAAGGTCTGAGCCCGTGCCTCAAGCTTCGAGAAAGCCAGCAGCAAGGCACTCTACAGTCGCGGGTGGAATCGACACAACAGCCTTCCTGGACGATGAGGGTCGGCAGAAACCTAGTACGGTAACTGCGAAGGTCACAGCCGTGAGAGAGACTTCCGCAGCAGCCTTTGCACATCGCGAGACAACAATTGCAAAGGCTGAGTCGACCGCCTCTCTCCAGTTCCAGACAGCCAAGACGCACCAGGCAGACAGTTTTGGTGCTGGGACAGTGATACCGCCATTGACAGACGCATCACCCAGCGACTTGAACGCGGAGCAGCCAGTGAAGCAACCTGTGGGACTGATCAGAACCACGAGCGTGGCCGACAGCCTGGACGCGACCCCTATTTCTTTAGCCGAAGTGCAAGCTCCCGTCGAGGCCGAGGCTGGCACCGATGCAGCCAGCGAGGAAAAACAAGTCAAGACGAAACCAATAGATTATGAAGAAGAGGAAGCGGAAGCGGAGCGCAAACGTCAGCGGGACGCAATGAAGGACGCGGAGAAGGAAGACCTAACTTCCAAGCTCGCATCTCTGATCGAATCGAAACCCAGCGGCGAGAATGCTCCCGATGTGGAAGGCTCAGGCCCGCTGCAGCAACCGACACGACGTGCCAAACGAATATTTGGGCGTGCTATCAGCAACGCGTCGGCAGCATCTAGCGGAAGCGCCGAGTCGCGCATGGACTCGATGGGCCGGACCGCGGAGGAGAAGCCCCGGCAGGAGAAGGAGCAGGAACCACCATCGACGCAAATACAATACCAGGACCCCGGCGCCCAGCAGCATCGGGCCAAGATGATGAGCAAAATTGCCAGCGTCGGCGGCGAGGGTGCCGGTAAAGCCGTGGCTCCGTCTCCTCCCGTCGTCAGTCAGCCTGCCAGGAAGAAGATTTCCACCATTGGAGGATTTGACTTTAGTGACGAGGCAAGGCCCAATACCAGGCAACTCAGACGCAAGTAGAAAGAAAATGTGCCGGGTTACTTCAACATCGGTATTTGTTTGAAACAATCAAGTTACTTTGCGCGGATTTCGTTTGGATTATATCATCATGAGAGGACAAGGGGGACGGCCCGCGCGTTTGCGAGAAGCGGGCGTGGAGAGGAGAGGTGGGGGAGGGGGATATAGCATTGCATAGCATGATCACAAAGGAACATGGAATCGACGACGCCAAGACAGGGTTTACGGAGTAGGCACAGGAATTTTATGAAATTTTAGGAGCAAACGAGATGATAAAAGCATCAATTTTTGGGGGTATCTCTCATTTCGTAAAGGTATGGTGTACATCTACATCTTTCAGGGGCTTCTCCCATGCGCTCTCGTACAACTCTGCATCCGCCCCCTACTTTGCCTCTCCCCCCTTTCTTAGTACAGGTATCATGAGTTTGCTGTTCAACTTGGAAACAAGTTTTGACAAAGGAAAAGAAAGGTACAAGTCTGTTGTTCGGGATTTTTTGTGATTGCAAAGAATTTCCTTTCCTGTCTCCCTAGATGTCCTGTATTCCTAATTGCCGTTCTCGTCGGATCAAAATGTGTATTGGGCACAGCCCCAATGGTAAATGCTAGAAGAATATGTAGGAAGGAAAAGGGGGCGCCAGCTCCTAACAGCAGTACGTCGATTGATACAGGGGGTCCAAAGCTCCAATCAACTAGCCATCGTACAACTTAAAGACTAGAAAAGACGGGATATAGGGAAGATAGATAGGTAGGTAGTTGCGTTGGAGGATCACAACACGGAAGCTGCCTCAGTGAGGACGCTGAGCAGACTGGCCGCGGCGCCACCAATGCCCACGGCACCCAGTGTCTCGCCCCAGGCCTTCTTCTTGTCTCGCCTGTCGCGGTCAGATCGCTCGCGGTGGTGACGGCTGGGATAATGGTCCCAGTCACGGTGGCGGTCTCTGTGGCCGTCGCGGTCGCGGTCGCGGTCCCTCTCACGATCACCGCGGTCTCGGTCACGTTCCCGCTCGCGGTCTCTGTAGTGGCCGTCACGGTCTCTGCTCTCGTAGTCCCTGTGCTCGCGGCGCGAGGGCCTTCTCCTCCGATCGCGGTCGTCGCGATAGGAGCGGGGAGACGAGGCGTGGGGGTCGAGCTCATGAGGTTGCGGGTCGAAGCGAACGTGGTTCTCGTTCTTGTTCTTGAGGATGGGCTTTGGCTGAACCGTTGCGGCGGGTGATGTGCCCTTTTCCTTGTCTGAGGGAGGGGGAACGATGTAGTATGTCTTGTTTCCTTTCTCCTCGTCGGGGTAGCTGGCTTCTGACGAGTTGTCGGACGAGTCCCAGAGGGGTTCCTCTGATGATGAGGTATGTGAATCACCGCGGCGGCGAGGTGAGCCTTGCGTTGCACCACCTTTTGGCGGGGGGCCGCCGTTGTTACGTCTTGAAGAGCGTGCGGCGCGGGCCTCGGCAGAGAGGCGAGCGTAGTTGGTGATCTCTTCACGGCTGAGGACACCAAGGACTGCGACGTAATCTGGGCGAGCCTCATAGCGGACGCCGGCACGCTCAAGGATCTCAGGAGAGATGAGGGCACGGCGAATGCGCGTCCACTTGGCTTCCAGGGGAATGTCCATGCCGTAGCGGTCTGGTGCAAGACGGCTTTGGGACGTACGTGGGGATGCACCATATGCGGAGGGGGGGCCACCGTGGCTGTTGGGATGAGGGATTGGAGGTACGAAGCGTGGTGATACGCCTAGATTGGAGGGCGAGGAGGAGAAGTCTGCTGCAGCGCGGGCAGCTGCAACATCTGGTGGTAGATAGCGGCTTGCCGGTGAAGTAGATGAAGGGGAAATACTGTAATTTTGAGCGGCAGTGAGGCGAAGGTTATCCATGCCGTGGTTGATGGTATCCATGGCCATGAGATCGCGAGTTGAGATGAGGGCGAGAGAGTCGTTGTGCTCATCGTCCGCGCCATGTTCCCGTTCATAAGTGGAAAGAGTACTGAACTCATTTGGCATGTTGGGAGCGGAGCGCTGGTCTGCCATACGGCGGTCACCTCTTACAGCCGGAGCATACTTGTCGTCGTATGAACCGTACGTCTCTCCAGGACCATAGTTGTCACGGCCCTGGTAGGATGCAGGTGTAACCGCCATGGCTGGATGGGGGTATGCGCGCTCCTGGGCGAGGAGACCGCGGACCGAGGGTGGTGCCGTGGCATCATTTCCAGTTGAATGTTCCAGCTCGCGAATATAGGCACGCAGAACCTCCTGTCCAGGCGAGTTAGCAACAGCTTTGTTCCCCGTCTGGGTGTTCAAGATCATCATACCTTGTTCTTGCGCAACACTTCCTTTGAGAAGCCCTCCTTCTCCAGCTCGGCCCGGAACTGTTGCCAAAGGTCCTCTTCGTCATCGCCAATACCGCTGTCTCTCCGAGCAAATAACCTTGCTGCAATGGCATCCACCTTGTCTTTGATGTTGTCCAAGTTTCCGCCTTGTTCGTCCACTACGCGTTGGGCTTTACTGGGGTTGTGCAGCTGTACTGTGTCGAGAAACATGTCGATGGCGGTTTCTTGGTTGGCAAGTTTCGTGCGAACCATGGCCAACATGTCACGCTCGCGCTCTTCAAGCTGTGTACCCTCGCCATATTTTTCGATCATGGTTTCGAGCTGCTTGAGGGCAAAGTCGCAGTCCTCAACAAGGGGAGCAAGCTGGCGGTTATAAACGGATGAGGCATCTGAGTTGAGGAGAGAATCTTGGTCTTCGGACTCGACCTTGAGGTGCTTGAGGACCGTGTGCAGGCGACGGACGACGTTGGCGACGTCGTCGAAATCTGGTCCCGATGCCTTGGCGCGACGGTATAAGGCCCGCGCGAAGGCATCAACAGCTCTAAGACTGGGGGGTGAGTTGCCGTTACTCATCACGAAAGAGTGATGGGGTCGTTGTGGTTGTGGTCAGTATTGGTGAGGTTTCCTGCTCGGTCGACGAGCAGTGACTATTGTGCGGGTGTGGTTTTTTCTTGGTGGTTGTTGGTGTTGATGAGATGGAGAGGGAGAGAGACGGGAGGAATCAACGTCCGTCTTAGATAGCGCGCTCTTGCGGGTAGGCGATAGATGTATTGGGACGCTGTGTCGGGTGTGATCGACGGCAATACGCAATAGGGAGGGCGGGTTAAGACCAGGGAAAAGTGATGCAAGTCAGGCACAGCAATAAAGATGTGGCATCAGAGGAGAGGCTGCGAGGTTCTAGATGTAGCAGGGGGGTCGGGAACGAGAACGTGGGTGACGGACGGAGGATGAGGGTTGAAAAGGGAAAGGTTGGTCCGCAGGGGAAGAAGATATGAAGAGAAGAAGGGGTCTGTCTCAAGAGGAAAAGAAGTGAGGAAGGGCGAGAGAGTGTTGATTTGTGATGTGCAACGTGAGGTCCGAGAATAACAACTTCCCCAAATCCTGTCCTGAACTGCTTCACCGAAAAGCTGGAGTCCAAGAGTCGGCAGGAAGTAGAGTTACTCAGCCCTCTGAGTATCAAGTATTCCGTACAGAGCCAGGAGAAGAGATAGGTATACCCAGAAAGAGAGAAGAGATGAGGTACACTACGGATACAGATAGACAGGCGGGTAAATCATGAACCAAGGCCTTGCTTGTGTGCTTGTCAAGGTGTATCCAGGCGAGGCCAGCAGAAAACCAAGCGAGGAGTAAAGGAGGTAGGTAGGTGGTGGTGACCCGAAACGGGGCCTCATGGCGATATTGTCATGGAACGTACTCGTACGTGCAGTAAACCGGATGGCTGACAATGACTTCAACTGTCACTTGTGCCTTTTTGGGAGAGGGAAGAAAAGGCAAGGGAAACGCAGACAGGGGGGTGTCAGGTTGTACCTCACCGGTGTACTCTACTTGAGTCCATGGCCTTGGGTGTGGCAGCTAATCATGTGGTCGCAACCCGAGGGCGACTCCAAGTCGGCCCCGCGTCGCTTGGGAGAAACAGTCGACTTTTGGGATGTATGTACCGTGGGATGGAGGGGGAGCACAGCTTTGACGAGTGCCCTTCTTCATTACACTGTACATACATTGTAGCAAAGAAGGTGGAGGGGGGCAGACTTCATTGGTGATGGGTTCGCGTATACTGGTATCCGTTCCAAGGCAGCGGATCTGCGCCGTACCCAATAGGTCTATCCCGTCTTGTAAACGATGGTGTAGAGGGAGCAGAGGCCCGAGGGTTTGAGCAAAGTGCTGGACCTGCCAGCTGGCCGAGGAAGACGCGAGTGAGGATGTAGAGGTTCTCATCGATTATCAAGCGCAAAAGGCCAGAGCAAAAGTTGCGCGGATGACTCAACTCACTCGAGAGCTAATACTAACTGCAGAGACAGAAAGATCGGGATGACTTCTGACTTGCATCGGCAGAAGGGGGATCAAAGAGGCACGCCAGGCATCAGCTGGATGTCGAGGCAGACCGAAGCCAGCAAGTACTCTTTCCCTGGTGCTGCTGCTGGCAACTACAAAGTAGGTAGCAGAAAGATAGAAAGCAGAGGGAGGGGCTGAGATGAGCTTGTGATGTAGTGCTTGCTGCTTGTTGTCGGTGGTGGTTGGCTGGTGGGATGTGGGAGGTGCCATACGCAGACGAGGAGCGCGCAGCAAACTGCCAACGCGACAAGCAGAAAGCAAGCTCCACGCTCCTGCTCCATGCTCCATCTTCCTGCAGTGACGTATTCGCTCCAGCTCCATGAAATCATACTGTCCGGGGGCACGCAGAAGACGAGACAGGGGGGCCGTCAGTGGCAGGGGGTCAGTGACGGACTGACGGTTGGATCTGCACCATCTGCTGCCCGCCTGGGACTAGCTGCACGGCCGGAGCAGAAGACCCTTTCTCTCCAGCCCTTTCCTTTGGGTCAGTGGTCAGTGGTTAGAGGTCACTCTTGCTCTGTCAGACTGCTATGTGTCTCTCTGGGCAGTGACATCCGGAGTCAGGGCAGTGTCTCTTGCGTTGTATATGTCTCTGTGAGAGCCTGGATATCTCTTTCATGTACCTCTCCACCTTCACTCTGCCGAGAAGATACATCGCAGAGACCCCCCGTAGATCGTGGATGTAGTGGCAATGTAGGCAACCACCGGACTCGATCTTGTGAAGCTATCATTCATGAATCATCCCTTCTTCCAATCTCTCTGTTCCTCACTGTTCACAAGCTCATCAATGAACTTGAGACTCGGTCGCGGCATTTGTTTGCCAACCCTAGCTGCCTGGGTAATCTTGCATTACGCCCTTTCAACTGCCGGAAATAGCGTCTACCAATCTTCAGAGCGACCATGATATCGCCGAGCTGATTGAACATGAAAAGTTTCGTAAACAATCACCCTGAAATAGCCCCGGCGTGTTTTGGAGAGATTTTGTTTCTCCATAGGGCTGTAATGCCAATCCTCGACCCTTCACCTCAACTCATCACGGGCGTCATGCTAACGACAGGGCTTGGCCTTGGATTGACACTGAGCAGCACACATGTACCGGCAATCCGTAACGTTGTACCTGAACCGAACCCTTTCAGATTCACCCATCCTCGCCAACCATGTGGTCCGAGTTCTCTTTCTCTTGGAACAGCAGCATCGTCACCATACGCAGTTTCTCCGGGGGAGAAAGGGACGCGCCACCCATGCCTACTGGGGTGTCCCTGTTGCCGCCTGCGCCACCCGTCTGGATGAATCGAGGGGCGAGCAGCAATCCAGGAAGCGCCCGTGCAGCTCCCCTCCATCCTGCATGCCCTCTAGGCTCTGAGCTCTTCCCTTCGGACTCTTCCAGAGAGCCACTTTGGAGGGCTGCCCCTCGCCAAGCCTCAAACAGGAACGCAGCCCCGCGTGAGCAGTAACAATTCAGTTTTTACCTCACAGGCAGGGCGAGCACAGAATGCCCAGCGGCCCCGGGAAAGGCATCTCGTGGTCGGCGAGCTACTCCTGTAAGCACCAAACGGCAAGCACTGGGGACGACGCCAAGGCAGACATCCGGATAGCGACGAACAAGACGACGACGGAGATCAGAAGTCTTTCAGTTAGAACCTTGCTTGGCCCTGGCCCTGGTGCTATGCGCTTCAACTCGACACACAGCGACAGCGAAGGGTACTCTATAGCGCTCGGCAAGTTGCAGCGAGGCAAACGCCTGGTACACGAGCGAGCATTTGACAAGTGACAACTTTGTTGCGCTCTGGCAGGTATCACACGGTAGCGTCGTAGATGGTTTTCTTGCCTCTCGGCGGACCCCGAGAGATCCTATTTCCAGCAGCACCAAGAGCGCAGCGCGCTCAATTTTCTCCGTCCTTGTCTCTCTTAGGGCCTTGTTCGTGCTGTCCGTCCTGCATACCCGGCGTTCCAGTCGATGTGGGTATCCTCGCTGCTGCACAGAATACGGAACAGCACTTACAGCTCCCTCTATGAACACCGATTGGAATACGGGCAGGGGTGGGAGGGGGGCGAAGAACGGTATTTTTTGGGTTCGACTCTGCATGTCGGTTCGTCTTGGCCCTGGGGGAAGAGGAACTCCGGAATCCAAGGCCCCAAAGGCGTCTCCGGTCTCCGTATCATCGAGTCGAACACGAGAAGACGCTAAAAACGGCTTCTAGAAGCTCTGTCCCATTCGGCCCATCCGTCAGGGTCCTGGAAGGAATTTGAGCATGTCATTGGTAAGATACAGGGTTCGTGTAAGAGTCAGAGCTGTCTATAGAAGACGGTCCGTTTCGAAACCCACTTCAAAGTTCAGCCAGCTCGTTTGCATCTCCATCGATATTACAACGCGTGTAGAATAGAGTCAAGGCTTGAGAGCGGGCAACTGGAAACACCGGAGACCCGGGAAAAGAAGTCACTTGCTGACGAATGCCACCGCGGCAACAACACGGCTCTTGTCGCTGCAGGACTTTGGACGCAAGGCATCCTTCGTACATCGAGAAGCCGATATTTCCGGTGTGAGAACCGAGCTTCTTGTCTCTTCGCTGTCATGCTCGCCGACAAACTCTCGTCTGTGACTCCTTTTCCTGGGTTGGTCTGATCTCGCGGTTCCTTTTTCTTACTTCGTGACTTGAGCACTGTACAACCTTGAGCTCGTTGCCTTGTCCATGCATCTTTCCGCCGCTTCAACGCGGGAGGTTGTCGAAAAGTGCTTGATTCCGATGCTATCCACATTCTCCCATTCCCTCCAAAGATTTTTGGACGCAAAGCATACCTGTCACGGCGGTGCCATCAAAGTAGCTGACCGGCAGGCAACCCATTCTTTCTTACGTCTTCGCTGGACATGCAGCAAGAGGGCGCAGGAAAAGCTGCCCGACAAGCCACATCAAGCGTTGCCGCTAACCATTTCAGAAAGGACTTCTTGCATCGGTTGCATCGTCGGCATCCAATCAGATCTGCCATGAGATCTGCCATGAACTGCCAACGATTGCCCACGATGCAACTTCAAGGGCCTCATTCGTTCCCCCCGCACAATCCCTCAGCAGAGCCCCGAATGTGCAAAGCCACCTTTCTCCATCGATCTAGTGAAATCGATAGTCTGTCGTTTTCTTCACCTGCAGCTCGTGAGGGTCGTACCGTACTCCGTACAGTCTCTACATCCAAGACTTTTGTGGACCGGCTTGTAGGACGGCAGAGAGCGAGGCTTGTCAGATTCTCGTCTGCTTCTTTTTCTCTCGGCATCTCATCGTGTCCAAAGTACCGGACAGCAACACGGAGACTCAGCCCGCCAAATGACGGGAAGTCACTTGAGACGGGAGCATGCGTCCTGAAGCATTTCGAGATATGGAGCTTGGGCCTCTGTGCATATGCGCCCCCCTCCTCTCTGCTTCTGTCAGCAGTATCACGTATTAGTCTGTCTCTGCCTGCTGCCACATGTCTATTGACGAGCCGAGGATTGGGGTATCGCTGAAGCAGCTCAGCAACAGATTTCGAAACCATATCTTGATTATTCAGAAGCTAGATTCTACTCACAGCCTGACTTGCTCGAACAGATCGCTGACCGACGAAAGCCAAAAAATGCTCAGGGCCTGAGCGCCATAGAAGTAGAGATTCAGCAGCAAACAGAATCTCTCCGAAGCAGCCAACCAACCAACCAATCTGAGAGAGTATCGTGCTCTGAATCGTGTACATCCAATTCAATCAGTCCTCGAAAAACACCTTTTGCTTTCTCTCGAAATGCCTCAGCTGTAAGTGGTCTGTCACACCGACGGGTAAGTTTCAGCGTTCCGATTCGTCTGGTCAAGGAAGGGTGCATCTCAAGTCAGCCCTGCCGTAGCCCAATTCCTCTTGTCAGCTGGCGCTAGAATTCGGTCGATGATTTCCATTGTTCGATCAATGCAAACTCTATTATGCTAGGTAGAAAGTCCATTGGGAGGGGGACACAGGGGAGTTGTTCAATGTTTGAGGGTGGCTCATAATTGACCACATGATTGGCCTTCACCGAATGTAACCGATATCGCGGTCGACGAGAGGGGAAAGGAGAGGTACGCTTCGGTATCCGTTCATGGTATCTTTTTGAGCACTTCACTTTCTGGCTTGTCCTCGTTCTCTACGCTTTTCCCTCTCTTCCTATCCCTTACTCACAGGCTACACCGTCACAGGGCGGGTTCTATTGCCCCAAACCATCAGCCCGTGCAGAGCCTCCTCCAATTTTTGTTTGTCTTCAGCCTTGAACTTTTTCACTTCAAAAGCCCGATAATCTCACACGCTCGTCTGGTGGAGCCTCAGATCCCCTCGATACATTACTTTCTTCGTCTGACATGCGGCT